TTCAGTCAGCACCAATTTTTGGCATCCTTTATGTAAAAATTTCCAATTTTATGCCAACAAGAATAAGTCTAAAGGATTTCACGATGATTTTTAACTGGTGACCGACTGACCTAAAAACTAGAAATATTCATGTTCGTGGGGTTGGGTGTCTGAATATTTGTATATTGAGCAGAATATAATAAAAAGAAGAAAACAATTCTTGTGACCTTCGATCAACTCGGCAGCCACATATATCGACAACATTTTGTAAATCACTGATATTTACTTCTATACACAAAACATATGGAGATAACGAACAGTATTTAAGATCAAAAGTCCATGAAACAATACAAAATAGGAGTAGAGCAAACCCAGATCTCCGAAACATTGGAATTGGGATCAGGTGCCATGGAGGAGTGAGCATTCTCTGCCGACCGGCCACACCCGCCGTGTGCTCATTTTCATGATCGTCAATATCGGAAAAATTCGTCGTCAATTCAGTGTATAAAAAATGGAGTAACAATAAGTATGAAAAACGCCAGTCAGCATTTGACTCAATGATAAATTGTATTTGCTGACAAGGTCATTGTATCTACCATAGAAATTACGAAATGATGACTTTAAATGAGACTGCTGATATGTCAGCTTTATATAATCAGTTTACTCTGAAAAAGAGACATCGCCGAGTCTGTCATGTTTTACTGCTGTAAAAGATGATAGCCAGCTGAAAAATAAACTGTGTGACAAATGAGGTGACAGGGTTTCCGACGATAAGTTTCCTTATTCGTGAAATATTATTCCACTATGAACTAGATATGCTGTTTGTGTAACCATAATTATTCGATACTCAAGATTATGTTCTGAGAACGATGAATATTAAAACCGAGACAGGCTATTGACAAATAAGAAGATGTTTTTTTTTCTGGAATACGGCAATATTCACCAAATTAAGTTTCATAACTCCTTTATTATCAAGCTAAATATTATCCAATTGATTTATTCGTATTAATTAATTAATTAACTCCTCAAAATTAATATTTTCGTTTCGTAGTATTTAACTGAAATATCAGCGATTGACCTTAAAATGTTATAATTTAATGATATCATTCCAGTAACCCTTCCCAGTGTTACGATTTGCTTAATATTGAGATTTTAATAGAAGGTTATACACATTAAATTATTAATTTTAATTTTGTGTGAAAATGAAAACATTTAAAGCTAGTTGCAACAAAAAGTCATAAATAAGCTGATAAGCGGTTGACTAGATAACATTATAGTGTATAAGGGGGGTTCAATATTGAAAACTCATATTAAGAATGTATCTATTGTAAATTATGCGTTCAATAAAACGCCAACATATTGAAAGCCTAAAATCTCTAGACTTTTCGAACTTATCCTTTTTTTATTATTAAAGACTATTTATTTACTAATATAATAAGATCTAACACTGTGTTGTATTTTGATACTCATATTTTGTGAGACTTCTAGGGTAAATTTGACTTCCAAACACCTCGTCTACTGAAAAATATATAGGGCTGTCGACAGAGGAATGCTCTCTCCTCCATGGCACCTGATTCTACCAGGGTCTGTCCGGGGTCTCTTTTTTATGCTCACAGTTTTGTTTAGTTGAATCGAACGCACTTGATCTTTGTTAAGTTTAAATGTTTTTTTTATTATCAATAAGGAAAGCCGACGATTGAAAAGCTGAAGTCATCTCGTTTTATCATATAATTTAGCTGGTATTTGGTACTTATTGTCTGAAGACTTTTATCATGAACAATAGATAAGTTGCATTTATTAATATTTAGTATATAAATATTCTTTCTCATGAGAGAAAGAATGTTTATGAATTAACAACGATTCATTTTTGTTTGAGAAACCAGTCTGACTCCGATGGGCATTCTTTTCTGATTGTTATCTATAATGTGACACATAAATTTTACTCCTCCACGTCGGCCGATAAGATTTTTTTCTATTGTGGAAATTCACAGAACAATAAACATCAAATTATATAATACTAACGCCCACCTTGCTTGGTCGGAAAAATCGATCTACATCAACAGTTCCGGAAAAATACCCTTACTCCACACGATCCGGTGTCGAAGAGAGCAGCTTGCTTGCTTTTTAGGCTAAAATTATAGTGTTCTGTGCGTAAAACATATTTTTTCTGACGGTCATGGCTTTATAATTGTGTAACGTCCAAAAACTAGTTATCTCTTTTTTCTCTCGTCAAAAAGGCAGTGATTATCATCTAGAACAAGAATCATCAAGAGCAATTCAGGCCGTCGTGATTTCTTCAGTATTTCAAATCACATCAGATTTGATATACAAAATGTATTTTGTGAATCTAGAACAAGATCCTTTTATGGCATTATAATTTCCCTTGAAGATAGCGAAATATAGAGCAATTTCCAAGGGGGAGAAAGGAGCAAATCACACAAAGTAATAAATATTTTGGCCTGTTTTCTTCATTGGCCTTTGAACGAAATTTGGTTGGGTTTTATGTTATATTGGCATTTTAAATACAGAAGATATCGAGTGACATCTTTTCTGGCAGATTTACCTAATTATACCAAGGGCTAAATATCTGACACAAAAGCCAGGAAGTTGTTAGGTTACATAATGGCGCGGAATAATCTGAAAGAATCTGAAAAGTGAAAGTAGACTGCATTGTGTTTGTGTTATCAGCGGTACAAAAATTAGGGGTTAAATGAGGAGATAGAACACAAACATTAAACATAAAAATCAACTGCTCGAATATTTTTGTGGTTAATGAATATTATTTGACATTTACTTCCCGAGAATTTGTATAATTAAAAGGATTAGCTGATTTCTATTTTTAAACATTTACATATTTTAAATAAAGACCACCACGACAATTGTGAAATAATGTTCGTTGTTTTCTTGGTTTTAGATCTTTGTTATAAAAAAAACTCTTATAACTTTGTAATACTAAATATTCTTAAGTCAATCTTAGTATTTGCAATATACGTACATTATTTATTTCCCCTATATTTCTGTATAAAAGTTTAAAAGGTTATCCGTATTCAGCAAAATAGTACATACATTATAAACCTTTTTTAAAATAATCTTTCATCTGATAGAAAGAATTCTGGGGTTTTACTGGCTGGTACATGGTTGATACACTATAAAGAAACCCCCTTGAGAAAATTAAAGCTTTGTTAATATTCTTTTATTCTAATTAAATATTCTTCTCCCTTTGACTTGAATCGGATATAGCAACAGGAACAGCTTTAATAAGTCCCCTCTCTTGCTTTTAATGTCAATTAAGCTGTTAAACTGCAAAAAAGTTTTTTAAATATCATAAAATCCAATCACGTGAAGTTATTTTCATTTATTTGTAATTCAGCATTTAAAAAGACCTGATTAATAACTTTCAATTCGAAATTTTACAAAAAAAATTGAAAAATTGCAAGCACCTGCGTCTCCGGAACTACGCCTGATTGTCCTCAATCTTCCGTTTGTTTTTTCTTCGAATCTAATCATTTTATGCCGGAAATCATCGAGATAACATTTGCAGCTCTTATCCTGACTTGTATTGTGTGAACGGATTTTTGATTTTGAATACTGTTTGTTATCTCCTTATATGTATATGTCATTGCTAATTGACTGCGAAAAAAAGAGTTTGACCTTGCAAATAAACCTAACATACCGAGGAAGAATATTCATCTCATGCCCCAGAATTTTGCATGTATACTGTGTCAGGTTAGGGCCATGACAGATTTACAGAATAACAACTTTTTATCAAATATATCTTACTATTTTAACAAAAGAAGGGGGGAAAAGATAATTACGGAAATCAAATTTGTTAGTTTTGTTTTATGTAAAAATTTTAAGTAGTTTTATACCTGTTAACATATTTTTTGTATAAATCCATATATAGTATAGTTAAACAAACAATTTCTTTAATATTTTACAATAATATCATTCATCAATTTTTAATTCAAAAGAGGCATGCAGCCTTTATAGACAAAAAGGCGACGGATAATTTGAATTTTTTGACATTGCTACTTCCGTTAAAATGGCAAAGTATGAGTTGAGCGGAAACTGAATGTTAGAAGACGCTAATTATATTTTCATCCATCATGCTTGTCTTTGTCACGATAGTTTCCGAAGTCACCATTCGGAACACGGCCAGATTAATTCTGTTACACGGAACATCTCTCACTAATTATTTTTGGTCTTCATTTCCATTGCCAAGAGTGAATTGTATTATTTTTTCCACGAACCTGCCTCCACCGCAAAAACACAATTGTGCACGTTTTATCTAAATTATCAGGTCTCGTTTTCCACAAACTTGATTATGTAAATATGGGGTTCTTCTGGGATATACATGTATATGCTTTAGATGCCCTTTGTTCCTCTTTAGGGTCTCTCCAGTCCTTCCGTTCACGTGCAGGTTACTCGGTGCCAACACGCATCTGGAGTAAAATGCGGTGTAATATGATATTGTCCTTGAGTACAATTTATTTATGTTAATCGTGGATTAGAGATGAGAAACGGATTTCCTCCTCCCCCATTGATGAAATGTGTACGATTCGTATCACACATTTGTTTTCTGCTGAAATATGATTATTGATAGAACACATACATAAAAAAGGAAAGAAATGAAATGAATCTTTGATGATAGATTTCATTTCAAACAGTCAAATAGATTATATTTCTTTACAATTAGTGGCTGCAATTACATACATTGCTAATTGAAGAGTGTTCGTTACAATTTCTTGTTGAACTCTTCTCTGGTAATCAGGCAAAAGAAACCTTTCTACTGTTTCTATTCACAAAGCAATAAAGAGAGATTTATGTACACATAAAAATATTTTTGTAAACTATTTAATGAAATTTATTTTCAGATATACTAAATGGTTTGTTTACTTGTTCCAGTCTTTAATATTTTGTTTACAATTACTCTTCTTACTAATGTTTCATTCTTTAGTAGTTTTACACGTCCTTACACCGTGTTCTCGTTCTGTTAAAAATCTCAACTTTTATTGTTTTAGGAGGTTTGTTCAGCAATGAGGAAAGTACAACAGAGAACGCATTCAAGTACGCAGTCTACAGGATTAAACATGAGAAAAATTTATTGGGCGGATCAACGCTTAGCTACGATACACGGCGTCTGTCGGTGGAAGACGCATTCACGTCATCAATGGAAAGTAAGTCGCTCATCCAAAATACTATTTTAAATGCATTGTACCTCATTAAATTGTCGTCAATTGTTAACCATTTCAGGTAGAGTAACACGTAAAAACTAGTAATTTGATCTGATCAAATAGCACAACTTGAATTACTCATTGTGGTCCCACTATCCCTGGGGTCATGATTTTAACAAACTTGAACTGAAACTACGTAAAAAAGCTTTCACGTAGCATAATTGTTTCTTGTCATTTGGTTCTTGAAAATTTTCCAAAGGTACCATTACTTTTTCACTAATCTTGATTATTTCTAGTGTAGACGTACTTTTTTCCACGGGGTCATAATTCCGCGGATTCTCAATTTCTGTTGAATCCGCGTGTAGAAAATTTCGCGGATTTCCTAGATTGTCACTATATGCCTTACATTTATATTAAGTACGCTTGGACAAATTTCCGCGGAAAATTTGTGACCGCGTACATAGCGTAAATTAATACCACGCAGATAAAAGTACTTCTACAGTATCTTCAAAGAGAACGTTATCTTTTTTGTGAATAAACATGAAAGCCCTAAACCCAGAGATATTTTTACTCAAACAACACGAATCAGGGGAAGAACACACAGACCTCTAAAACATCAGAGGTGGGATCCGATGCCATGGAGGAGCGAGCATCCCCTGCCAACCGGTCACATACGCCGTGTCATGATCGGAAAATAACAGAAAAATCCGTCGACAATTAATTGGTCTAAAAATTAGTATGAAAAACATCAGACAGCATTTGACAATGGTAGATTGTATTTGCTAACAAGTCACGGGATCGAGCAAAGAACTTACAAAATGTTGCCTTAAAACGAGAAAGTTGATATTCTTGTTTCAACAACATTTTTGTTAATAATTTACTTCGTTAGAAATTGCTCTTAAGTATAACATGCTCTTGTGTATTGAATCAACTGAGAGATATAACCTCATATGCAGGAAATAAGAGTGCATTCCTGCATAAGTAAGGGACTTAAGTTGACGATTGAAAAAGTTAGAGTCACCACGTTTATCCTAAAACTTTGTCGTTAGATTACCATAAAAATCTTTTTTTCTAGTAAAATATCCAAATATGAAACATTTGAATGAAAATAACTATTTGTTTACTGACAATACATCGTAGATATATCTATATGTCGAACTGAAGTCCAAGGCAGGTGGATTCTTCTTGTGTATAAGGTTTGGAATGAATTCTACATTTAATAGTTACAAAAATAGGTCTGCTTATATCGGGTATTTGACGGGTATAAATTCGTAATTATGGGATTCAAACAGATTGTTGGAAGATCTGGTCTCTAAAACCACATAAATATAATCAATAACTCAAGCATCCTGTGTCTACAATCTACAGCTCAACACACTTTTTAAGCTCACATGGTTTTTCGCACAAATTAAGGTTACATTTTTGTTATAAAAATTACCATTTTCTAACTTCAGTACGATGAAACAGCCCTACGTTATATTACATATATAATGTCGAGGACATAAGTCCTTTAGAATCATTATCTTAAGTTTCTAAAGTGGATGTAATAAAGGGGAATTAATCAATAAATGGTACGATGTTTCTACTATAGGATTCTACCATAAGTTTTTACAAATTATATAAAACGAGCTTTTATACATACCATGTAGTTAAAAATTTTTGATTTTCTTTTTAAAGGTGAGTATTTTTCAAAATTCTTTGCTCAATTACTATACTCCTCTTGGTTTTGTCGAAATGTAGCGCCGAAAAATGATAACATTACATAAGGAAACCACAGTTAAGGGTAGGATATTGAAGTATTGTTTAATTTTCTAAATAGTATATTCTTTCTATTGAAGCGGAACGCTGTATTCTCTATTTTTATTATAGCGAGAGTTATCGCCCTTGTTATTTTTAATTACTCATTATATGCTTTAAAAATAAATACTTAATTAGTGTTGAATTCGAATTAAAGTTATCAATTATAATCATTGTATGTTTCTTTAGTTGGACTGATTGGAAGCTTGATTGGTGTTTTAATTAGTTTGTAAATAAATAATCACTAAGTATTTTATATGGTGTTAAAATATGTACGGTTTTACTGGCGGTTGTACGAGAGACGTTCTAGAGGTAAAACTTGAAGAACCTTGTGTGTCCATGTAAGTGTGCGGAGATCCCTGCTTATATTGTACTGCTCTAAGTAGTAAGTGTGCGGTCATCCCTGTTTATTGCTAGTCAGAGTGTGTGTTCATCCCTGCTCTGGAATTAGCATCTATTAGCATAAAGTGTGAGGACATCCCTGCATGTTGCTGCGCAAGATCAGGTGTGAGGACATCTCTGCATGCATCTTGTGGTAGGGCATTGGTGTGCGGACATCCCTACCAGTGTCCCTGGTCTAGAACCGTGTCTTAGTATCAAGTGTGTGGTCATCCCTGCTTGTCACTGCGCAAGGGCAAGTGTGGTCGTCCCTGCTTGTCTCTTGTGGAAGTGCGCTGGTGTGTGAACTTCCCTGCCAGTGTCACTTGTTCGCTACCAGTTAAAACATAATATACGCAGTACGAAGTGATTAAGACTGCGCATTGTACATATTTGCAGCATCTCAGGGCTATCCGTTTTTATCACGGGTACGAGCCCGCGGGGGTTCACAGGCAGTGACCTCCCTTGCATGTTACACTATGAAAAGGAAAATTCTATTGCATTTACGGTTTGAAACGTAAAATTTTGCATTGGGATTAATCTTTCATGATTCTAGATTTTTAGAAGGTAACTCTGAAAAATACCACCTTATTAACACACAAAGCAGTCAAACAGATGAAAAATACTATTATCGCGCGCAAAAGAGTCAGAATATACAGAAAATACAAGTTACACAAGCTGTACTGTGCCTGTGTCTACGTTTCTGCAAAGAGATACTGCTTTCAAAAGAATGGAGAAAACGACAGCTACAATTTGCAAGAAACAACAAAAAATCAAATGGGAATAGTTGTTATTTTGCAGCCATGAATATATCAAAGTTCTATTAACTGATTTGTGTAAATTATGTTTATGTTAATGAAATAAAACTCAAATAATGTAAACAGGTACTTTTTAAATGCATTTTGTTGTCTCTCTACACAATATTACATTATAGCAATGTGACCTTAATTTGTGCGAAAAACCATGTGAGCTTAAAAAGTGCGTTGAGCTGTATTTAACAAAATGCTTTTGCAAATGACCAATGACAAGGTTTATTAATATACGAGTTCCATTTTTATTGAAAAAAAGAGCTGTCAATTATGTCAAAAAGCCTAGCTCTAATTTATCATGAGGAATGGTTGTAAGTATATAGATATGAAAAATCTTACGTTTTGATGTTTTTGATTTTGGTTAAATTTTGTGATTTCAAATTTTCAGAACGTTCCTTTAAAATTTTACGTATCCACCTCTGATTTACACCACTTCTCAAACAATCAAGTATTATTGCACAGAACCTCTAAAGTTTCTTCGTCACTGCTGTTAATATTTAAGTGAGGAGTAAAGAAAAAGACGCTTGGTAGAACATTGATTGGAACCCGCTTTGTATATTTGTTTATAAGGATTTTTATGAGGTTTTGGAATGTAAGATAGACATGGTAAATTGAAATCATTTGTTGGGAATATTAAAAATATTCAAAACAGACACATGCTTTTGAAAAACGTCCTCCTGAGAAAGGGGGTTATGGGTATAAGTTGGTTTTCTACTTGTAGAAATAAATCCCAAATCCTCTAAAATGCTATTGTAATAATGAACCGTACAAAAAAATGTTGTTACCCGCTTTTTCAGCTGTGACCAGTAATCTATTTTTTCACTTCTGAATTAATGAACACAGAAGAATAGATGGTTTTCAAATTGCTCTCCGCTCTCTTGATGCGAGATTTTAACATACATCTAATACATCGAATCCATTATGACAATGTTTTTTCTATGTCTGACCCCGCACATGGCGTAATCTACCATAGAATTCATAATATTTTTGAAATTATGACACCATGCAGTTGAAAGTTCGGGGTTCACTAAATGTTTGCTCTTTTAAAAAAAAACTATATTTACATCACGAGTTATAACGTGTCCAGCAGGCCTATAGTTGTAGGTTGAAGAACATGAACAGGTAGGAGGATTATGTTCCAACTGCTCGATATCCAGGCTTTGTTAAAATTTCTTGTAATTTAAAAGTTTGGAAGGAATAGTAGATGAATATATTTGTAGAAAATATGGGGTGTAGTATTCAGTTTGAAATAAATGTTGGAATACAAGACTGGGCCTTTTTGTGATTAAAAATATTGCTTATATAAATTTTAAAATAAAATGCACCGCTATTCAGTCTGCCTGTCTGAATTATTCCGACTCTTTCTCTATATAGGTTCACAAAAAATAACCTTTACAGATACTATCCTTATAGGTTATAGGAACTACCGTTGCAAAGATTTGGTTCCGAAGGAAAGATTTAAATTGGTATCAAGAAAACGATCCCTGATCATTCGGATTCCTATCACCATTAATTATCCAGAATAAGACTTACTGCATACTGCAACAAAGCGGAAGTTTAAAGTAAACTGTAACTAAAGATGCATTAAATTGTATAAACTCTGCAATCACAGCAAAATCCTACTTAGATGGAATACTTTTTTTGCAATGCTTCAAGGAAGAACAGCTATAAATCCAGCCTAATGTGACAGGGTTTATCCAACAGTGTTTTTGGCAGAGATAATTTCTATAGTTTAGGAAATAGAGATGAGCTAGATCGAGTTCTTTATGAGTGTATTGAACATTATTTTTTCATTCATAAACTGTAAAAACTCGATGTCTGCTGAAATATAGTACGACATTTATCTAGAGGGAGAGACCCTCTTTAATTGGGATAAGGATATATTTGACAGAACATCTTTACAATTAAGATTTTATTTGAAGTTACTTCGAAAATAAATTCATTTTAATTAAGATAGTTGCCTCGTATTTCAATGTTTGCATCGAAACGCAATTATTTAACAGAAATTGTGTTTTACTCTTTGAATTACCACCCCATGTTCCTTTATATCTGATATAAATCAAAAGAAAAGAATAAGTTAGCTATTATTAGCATCCAGCACATTTTAGCACTTCTGATCCGTGGCGAATCAAAAGAGTTTATATATATGCAGTAATAAATAACACGAGGGTACATTTGATTGGATTCGGTATGTATGTAGAGGCCCTTGAAAGTGAGAATTTTTGGATCTGTCACATAGATTTTCAGCATTCTTTTGATGTTTCGGATTCAAGTAACATAAGAAATGGAAATATTTTCCCGAAATTATGTTTAATTTACTAAAATCTTCCACGAAATTAACTATACTTCCCAATCAACCAATATTGCACACAATGAGTTTTTTCTATTTGTTACTCATAAGGCCATTTCTGCCCGATTTTACAGTGTTGTATGAAAAGTGTGTATTCAAGTGAACTTGAAAAGAAAGATACATATTTGGTCTTTTATTGACTGTAGACGATAAAAGTTAAGTAACTACTAAATTGTATCACAAACGAGAGGACTTCAGGTTTTCCATCATCAGCTTTCCTTATACATGTATATACAGTATAAGCTATCACCTGCTTATCGTTAATATCTTCGACTGATTCGCTTCTGAAGAGCTGACTCTGAGTATGACCAGTTTTTAAAGCGAGGCTTTCTTCTCACTGATAAATTGAATAAATTTCAGCAACCTCGATAACATCTTGTAACTTTCTGTTGTCGTTATAATGATTTTGTTAACACCTTGTTACCACACGAACGTTTTTGCTAGATCTAGCGAATTCGAGACAATTTCTGTATCTTAAGAGTCCTTTAAAAATTATTGTCTTACACTTTCGTCTCGGTATGCATGTGCAGGGTGTCCCAAAACATATGTTACACTTTTAAACCGCTATTATACAATTATGGACTGTTTAGAAGGGAGACATCACCAATTATCAGGTCTGAGTAGGGTTGTCACCCGAGGGCGCTTGCGCAAAAACTGTCATGCTTGCACCTGATAATTTTAATAATTTTTCTACCGTTGCGTAAACAGTCCATAATAGTTTTATTATCCTGAAGAATATACCATTATCAATTAGATAGAGAAGAAAATAGTAATCAAACCTCTTATTTTCTTCTACTCTGCTCCTATTCCATACTTTCAAAATATGTCAACAGACAACTTTGACGTCATCGTTAGAATTTATTGTTTACCAAAAATTACATATTTAGCCATTATATCTTATAAATAGGAGTTATCTCGCTTAAACCACTGTAGTTTTATTCAAAGGGCGACAACACAGTTGTAACCCTGCATGCTTTTTAACGCTTACGCTATTTCATTGTCATCTGAAGGGAGATAACAGTTGTCACCCTGCGCGTGAGAGAATCACTAGTTGTCTCCCTGCAAAAAATATTTATCTAAACCAATCAGATTGACTGTATAATTCTGAAGGATAATAAAAAATGTTATGCCTCAAGTTACCTTAATGAAATTTAAAATATATAATATAATTATTATAATTTTTTTGTCACGCATACATTTGTCCCGGTTTCCTTATTAATCATCAACATTTCTCCTAAAAACACATGTCATTCTACAACATGTTCCAAATGATGTTCATTTGAATATAACATTGTTTGAACATGATTTCTATAGGGTTTTTTACCATGCTTAAAAGGTGACATTCTTACAGTTTAGAGATTTTCCCACAATAAAATTGGGTTTCACCAAACAACAGAAATTAAGATTCTCTTTAAATACATTGTTAAAATGGAAGCAGACTTCATTGTAATACCATGCATATCAAAGTTTCAGAGTCTGGTCTAATTAAAATCCAATGGGTAGACTCTGTATGATTTCTAATTTCTGTCTCGTTCAAATGCTGCGTTACACTTATCTTGTAAGGAATCCATTTTAACTCAAATTTGAGTATTTTATGAACACTAACTTTACCAAAGGTGCTCTCTTGTTCATACAGGACCCGTCTAAGGGATATTTGTAAAGTTTCAGTATAACAACTCTATCAGTCATTATGGTTTTAATGTTCTCTATGGTACGGGCACTCTTTGGACTTCTAATACCAGAATTAAGTCATGTGTCATTAATGGTGCCTTTAACTTCAACCTCCCTCACAAAACTAGAAAAAAGTATCCTGTTGAGCACTTAATTTCATTGCAGGTTGTTGTTTTCTCATGGTTCTAATGACTAAAGTCGCAGATTTAGACCCTTAGAAAAGTTTTACAATTTCTACCAGTTGTTCTCATGAAGGTTCCATATTAAAAGTATGATGGCGTCATAAGGACATCATAATTACCTGACTTTTAGATAGAATTTCTCAAAAGTTTGTCAGATACAATGTATGTTATTACACTAGATGTTGACAAAATTTCTTAGTGAATACTTTTGTTTTGATAAAGTTATAGATGATTAAAAGTGTAACATATGTTTTGGGACACCATGTATATTAAGGTTATAAGGGTTTTCACTTTTTTTCAATGAAAGAAATCCTTTGTTTTACTCTTCTTCAAATCTTAGTCTGGCACAATGTAAAGAAGAAGGTAGGGTTTTGGCATTATTGCGCCCTAAAAATGTAATGACATCAAAAAGTTTTGAAACTGGCTTAAATATTAGTTAAGTATATGTCTGTGATAAATCAGGAAAGAATATGGCATGAAGGTTTACCATTCTGCAAAGATGACGTCATTAATGTGATTCATTTCTTCATTTTCAACAGAAAAAGCCTCAAAATGGCCCATTTCAAGGGTGATTTTCCTTTATAAAATAGTGTCCACAGCCGTCGCCCAAGTTAATTTTTTTGATATTTTGTGCAAAATTCAATAACAAACCACATATCTCAAGATCTTTGTGGGCGATGACTGTGGACAATATAATCTGAAAGAAAATTCCATTGAAAATTGGTGTCTTCTGCAACTTTTAAAGAAAATACGGGAAAATGCACATGTTTATGACGTCATAAATAGCATTTAGAATCACATGTGAGAAAAATGATTTGTATGATTTTTCTGCATTGAATTTCAATTGTTAAGAAAGCATCAGTTTTCAACTTTTACACCAGTTTCAATTTTTAGAAAATCACAGGGCAAAATTTGTTTGGAAACCATACCTTGTTCTTTGATTTTGTGCTCTTTTAGGTTTCAAAAAAGAAAAACCTTTGAATTATCAAGGTCGTTTTTATTTCGCACTAGAGACATGTCCGCTATCTTACGAGACAGTTAAATAGACGGAATGTCTATTTCCGAATGAATTGGCAGAAGTTGTTAGCATATCAATAGAGGATAGCTTACATGGATTCTCCCGAGAGTGATGCTCCCACACACGAAAAAAGGAATAAATACGAGAATTACGCAACGTTAATTCAAGCAAAAAAAAAAAAAATTTTAACAAAGTTTCACAATATCTGCATGCTGAAACTCTTATTAGATTAGCAATATATATTAATCAATGTAACAGGCATTCTGTTAAAAAAAATAAAAAGACACGATAGATGTATATTTGTTACACAGAAGAATTTACTTATAATTACAAATATTCGTACCCGATTGGAACTTTTCTATCTGAGCTGCTACGCCCTTGTCGTACTTTCCAAAGCTGGTTTATCAGTATATAATCTTTAATTGTGTATACATCAACAAATTTTAAAAGGTTGAAAACCATGTTATCCTTTAATCAAAATGGATCATGGAGGTGCTACGAAGGGGACGATGATAACCAAGCTGATACTGATAGAGATCGTTATCGTATATACATGTAATTTAAATGTAAAAAAGCTGTCAAGATGTATTTATATATGAATATTTAATTTTCAGTTTGTGATCAAATCACCCTGGGTATCTCCACATTATTCGGACCACGATCTCAGGATCTTTCCGCCTTCACCAACACAATGTGTTCACATCTTCACATTCCACACATCGAATATCGGGAAACCACGCTTGCGCAGACGTTGCTTTCCGGTTTCTCCATCAACATCCATCCAAAATCAGACCATTTATCCCAAGCATACATTGATCTCATTCACAGCTATAACATGAAAACCGTTCTTCTGATTTACGAAAATCAGGGAGGTACACATAGCATTTTCCTGTAACATTTTATTTTTTTAAATCTTCATTGAATTTGAAAACAGAGCATTATTCATGACGCTGTGGATGAAAACATTTATTTGAGAAAAACAAACTTCAATAAGAGGTTAATGATGTTCTTTTATTTTTCTCATTGTTTACATGCCTTGTACAGTAATCTAAACTATTTCTTTTCCATTTTAGGATTAATAAAAATGCAGACAATTTTACATGAAATAACAAAGGATGTAACCAGAAATGTATTCATCCGCCAAGGCGACAGAACAAATGTCCGAGACGTCCTTAAGGAGGCTAAATCTAAATCATGGACCAATATCATTGTGGATATGAACATTTCGAACACTGCTGTACTACTCCGAACGGTTAGAGAAATATTTCAATTGAAATAATAGCTTAAATTATTCGCGTTTTAAGTAAATATTGAAATTAGAAAAAGAAATTGATGTTGTAATACTTTGTTTTACATGTTTTATTCAATAAGATTCTGTAAATATACGACTATAAAATAAGTTTAAAACAGACATGCTTAGGTTAACTTTACAATCTTCATTGTTTGCCCTCTTTTGACTTTGGGTGAAAGATTTGGGTCAGTAGGTAGATGCAAATTTTTTCTTACAAAATTTCAATTTCAATTTTTTTTAAGAAATTCTATTTTCCAGAATACATAACAAAAATGTTACCTGGAAGTTAGAATAAGTATCGACTGTGGTCATTTTAGCCAGTCGGTCCGGCGAGGACATATATTTTTCTTTAGAGATGGCCTTGGATGTCTATTTATAACGTTTAATGTCTATAGTTATCTGAGCTTAGATGTAAATGGCTTACCGACAGAAAGCATTAGATTTCATATTGAACTGTCTGTATCCTAGTGATTTTGATTTTCTTTTTTAATCTGAGAGCGGTTGCATGTTTCCATCAAAGCAGATTTATCATGGCTGTCGATATTCTTTGTAATGTTCGTCTCTCATAGATCGCCAGTCATTTCGTCAGGATTATGTAATTTAGTTTTAAATTTTGTTCTCTTTTCCTCAGGCGCTTCAGGAGGGGATGATAGATCCCTACCATCATTACGTTCTCACAACTTTGGTATGTGTTTTCATAAATATAATCCATCCTATTTTTAAAATTTATCACGATTTGTCGGATTCAGTTTCCTTGATATCAAGATAATTTTCATGGTTATATCAATGAAAAATATATCATTTTGCTTTTCATTCAAAGGACATCGAAGGCATTAATTTGTATGACTACAAGTATAACTATGTGAATCTTACCGGATTTCGATTGGTTGATCCCAATGACGACTACACAAAAAGCATCATCAAAGAAATGTATTACTACGAAAGAGACACAAATCTCAAACTTTTATACGACAAGGACTACAGTACAATTCCGGTATGTGGCCACAAGCAAAGACATACATGTAACTCCTTCTTCAAAATCAAAATAAGCTTTCTTTAAATATTTTACATGCTGACTGATCAAATAGATACTAGGCCTGATGAGACCGTTTTAAGATTTTTTTACTCAAATTTGTCATCTCTGCATAATGTCTTTATTAGGAAATATTTGTCTTCCACCCAAAATAAATTATGAGAAGATGACTTTGAATCCCTTGTATTATTTTAAATTTGGAATTTTTTTTTAATATTGAATGTCTTTTTCCATCGTAGTACGAGTCGGCTGTAATATTTGATGCTGTGTTGCTATTCGCTAAAGCAATAACGGACCTGTCAAAGGATAAGATCTTTATTCCACCAAATGTGTCCTGTGACGTAGAAGAAGTTTGGAGATCTGGAAAGGACCTGTACGACTATCTACAGGAAGTAGGGCCATTGTCAAATCATTTTTTTTTCAATGGCGATTTTATATGATGTAAAACTAAGAATTGGTGCTTTATATTGTGTTAGTCAGAAATCCGCGGGTTGACGGGAGATATAAGGATCAGAAATGGACGACGACAGACATTTAAACTGGATGTGATGCAGCTCACGGAGGAAGGACTTAGAAAGGTCAGTTATAAAGGACACAGAAAACTCAGTGGTAAAGGACTCAGAAAGGTCGGTTATAAAGGACACAGAAAACTCAGTGGTAAAGGACTCAGAAAACTCAGTGGTAAAAGACTCAGAAAGGTCAGTTATAAAGGACACAGAAAACTCAGTGGTAAAGGACTCAGAAAGGTCAGTTATAAAGGACACAGAAAACTCAGTGGTAAATGACTCAGAAAACTCAGTGGTAAAAGACTCAGAAAGGTCGGTTATAAAGGACTCAGAAAACTCAGTGGTAAAAGACTCAGAAAGGTCGGTTATAAAGGACTCAGAAAACTCAGTGGTAAAGGACTAATAAAAGGTCGGTTATAAAGTGCTCAGAAATCTCAGTGGTAAAGGACTCAGAAGGTTTGGTTATGAAGGACTCAGAAAATACAGTGGTAAATGACTCTGAGAAGTCGTTTGTAACGAACTCAGAAAAGTTAGTGGTGAATGACCCAGAAAGGTTGGTTGAACCGGATTCAGAAAGGTAATTTATCCCTGACTCAGAAAGGTCAAGTGTAAAGAATCAAGAAAGATCATTTTTGCCGAACTCACAAAGGTCAGCTGATAAAGACCAAGGAAGGCCATTTATGCCAAACTCACAAAGGTCAGCTGTACAGGTCGTGTGCACAGGACCAAGAAAGTTTAAACATGCACAAACTATGGAAAAGTTTACAATTCTGTCAGAAATGAAGTTTTGGTTGATAGTCAACAGTGCGTTTCTGAACGAAAGCAAAGCATCCTTGGTAAATTATTGTTTCCTTTTTAAAATGTAAAAAAATTAATCTCTCTGAGCTCTTCTCTACCAACACACATAGTCAAAAGGATTGTATAAGTTGTAGATCTCTTTGCATGTATTTATGATTATTTCCAGAATCAGATACTGTGAAATCACTTATTTTCGTGGCGGTTAATTTTCGTTGTTTTCAAGGTACGGAGAGACTTACAAAATTATTACAACCACGAAATGTAAAATTATATCTGCATTACTACTTCATATTCTCCAAAAAATCACTCCCACAAACCAATACTATATCCTCAAATCTAAAAAAATATATATACTTATGTATACAATGCATATACATCAAAGAGGAATTATGGGTTACACCGTACTTACATTGTTGGGTATAATATGTATATAATTTACCTTTGCAGGTTGGGATCTGGAATTCCAATACAAAGACGGGTGTCAACTTTACACACCGCTACATCAAGGACAATTTTCCCTTCGGAAACAAAACTTTGGTTGTTACCACCAAACTAGTAAGTGTGTCCTAAGAGGACCCAATCATTTATCAGACTCTAACCTCTTCTATACGTTCATATCATGTCTAGTAATAACACTGACAATCATTATTTCACTGACAGTATCTTAACTACAGGAATATATAGATTATGAATTCTTGTCTAATGTATGTCAACACAAAACAAACCTTCGATTCTCACCAAAGATGTGAAACGCCATTTTTTCTCTCCATTTTTCAGAATCTCGATCGTCCCTTGATAGTGACGACCAAACTGGTACGAGTCCCATTAGAAGCACGTAGTGAATTCTTGCCCACCGTTTATCTGATGTAGAATTTATAGTCTTCTCCTACTAACAATGAATTACTGCTCTCTTTCAAAACAATAATATAAAACAACAGAAAAACATAAAGCATTCCAGAAATTAAGTGTGGCTTTTACATTCTAGACTTGGGTGTTGAATGGCTCGAATGGCATTTTGTACATGTATATTATGAATACATGTATTGTTTGTAGATGTTATAAGTGTAGTTTCTTAAATATATTCCATTTTATTCGTAAGTCATTATGACCCTATACATAAAGATTGACATTGAAAGGAGATGGGTGAACTTAGCGTGCAAAAAACCCACAAGCTTCAGATATATAAAAATCATATTCAAATTGTGATTTTAGTATTTAGAGTAAAGTTCTCATCATTGATTTTTGTAAAATCATGATAAACAAAAAGTTTTGAGGAAAATTTTTCGTTAAAATTTATTCTTTTATTAAGAAAAATAATGTGGTATCCATTGGGTTCGAACCCTGGCAATAAAAATCCTGAGTTGCATTCTCTGTTGAGACTAGCACGCTAATCATTACGCTATACAAGTCCTGATGAAGTGTGGCATTTAAATCATGTTTGTGATATGACCATTGACTTAAGGGACTTCAAGTATTTTAGAAAAAGATACGAAAGTTATGTCATAAACTTATATTTTTTAGGTATAGTTGGTCATTGCTCCATAATTTTGGAAACCAAAATATGTATGTTTTTATGCAAACTTTGAGGATTACCTTTCAAAAAAATGGAGAGAAGACCCACTCATAACGAAAAATAGTGTTATAGTGTGAAAAAATGATTCGTTTTGTCCTCTTTCGTGTTTGTATAATATTTCATAGGCAAATAACTTCAATTTTCATGAGATTTGTGCAAGTTGAAGAGATTTATCATGAAGTATACTTTAATGTTAGATGAAATATTAAGGAAAATTTTGATAAAATTGAGATTTAATTTTTCACCTTCTTGTTTATCGCACTATGGGCTTATCTCTCGTCATGTTCACCCATCTCCTTTAATCATATTTTATTGCTGTAAAAAAGACGCCAATGAAACTTAAATATTCCAAGGAACTTTGGGACAATTTGAAATCACAAGATTTTATCAAAATCAACTTTGGGACAATTTGAAATCACAAGATTTTATCAAAATCAACAGCTGAAATCACAAGATTTTATCAAAATCAACAGCTTAAAAACTTAGACTTCTCAACTTTATACACAACCATTCCCCACGATGAATTGTAGTCCAGGTTTTTGATATCATAGTCAGCTGCTTTTTCAATAAGAATGGAACTCGTAATTATACTTACCTTGTCATGAGTAATTTGCAAAATTATTTTGTTTTAAAAAATCTGACTGTACAAACAAGTACTGTGAAGTTGACATCAAAATGATGCTTGGGTTTCTGATTGACAATAGCTGTGTGAATTTTGGAGACCAGGACTCTAACCATCTATGAGAATACCAATTAATACGAATTGCTTCTGTTCTTAACAGACCTATTTTTGTATTAATATGACTTAAGCCGAATTTGTCCAAATTCGTACCGTGAAAAGAAGAAAACACTTGCTGTGGCCTTCAGCTCGACATTTAGATGTGTCAACGATGCATTGTCAATTAACGATGGTTATTTCCATTCTTATGTCGATACGATATATCTTAGTGAGCTTGAGATAAAATATACCACAAAGTCTGACACGACTGTCTCATATTTTCGATGATTTACTTAAAAAAAATCGTTCATGGTAATCTAACAACCAAGCATTATGATAAACATGATAACTTTAACTTTTTCAATCGTCAACTTCCTTTACTTATGCAGCAATATCATTCATCACTTGGATACGATGTTCATATATCTCAGTTCGATACGCAAAAGTATGCTCTTCGCATAATTTCAAAAACCAAGGTCGATTATTGACGACCAAGGTGACGAAACAAGAATATCAATTCTCGTTTAAAGTCAAAATTTCGGAAGTTCTATGTCGATACAAGACCTTGTCAGCAAATACAGTTTATCATTGCTGATTGACTTTTTCATATTACTTGTTAGGCCATTAGTTATACACTGAAATGACAACGGACTTTTCAGTCATTTCCCGATCATAACAAGAAGCACACGGAGGGTTTGTCCGGTCGGAGGGGATGCTCGCTCCACCATGGCACATGATCCCACCTCTGATGTTTTAGAGGTCCGTGTTTGCTCAGGTCCTGTTTTTTTAATTGTTTTATGGACTTTTGGGTTTGAATACTCTTCTTTATCTTTAAATATTTCATTTCAAACAAAAAACGGGCGTATTATCAAAGTAGGTTTGTAGTTTTAGCGCAAATAAGGGGAAGGGGGACTTGACCAACAAATATAATTTCATTTTCAGCGTTATTATATTACAGTACACGTATTCTACCTTTTTCCATAATAGGTTATATGTATATAATTCATATTTAAAACATTAAAATGTTTGCATACTTTTGTTGTAAATATGAAGCCTATTTTTCTTTTATTTTAATAAACTGAGTGCATCAAGTTGTCATGTACATGTTGTATTAGTATAATTATTAATCAATGCTGCTTGGGTACATTATGATCAAACTTAAATATCTGCACTTAAAGGAAAACTAGATCAAGATCTTTTTGTTTTGTTTTGGAAGAGCTGTTTAATTGAAAAATATCTTTAAAAGAAATATATTAGGTATCCTAAAGAAAGACAATTATAATAGACGTTTTTAACTTCTTAGCATAAAAAACAAAGGTGAAAACAGTTCAATGAATTCAGGTGTTTTTTAACCTTTACCTATTTCAGGATAAACCCTATGTGATGATGAAGGCCCTGGAGCCTGGGGTTGACGGTTCGAAGCTCGGTAACGACCTTTACGAGGGTTTCTGTATTGACCTTCTGAAAGAAATGGCGGCCATTGTGGGGTTTGAATATAAAATCGTCCCTGTGGAAGATGGCCTGTACGGAATGCTTAACGACGGAGAATGGAATGGGATCGTCCGAGAACTCATTGATAGGGTATAAAACAGACTTTACTTTGAACGAATTGAATATTTTAAGCATTTTGATGGATAATCCTTTCTTTAAAGTTTGTAATGCAGGAAGAATTTCATTGCGCCTACGGAAAGCTCATTCTTCAGGTGTAAGCTGCCTTCTTCATCTCATTTTTACATATATTATAAAGATATTGACATCACAAACAATATCCTCAGATTCCTTCCTTATTGTTTGATTTCAGAAAGCTGATTTGGCGGTTGCTGCTTTAACCATCAGTTATCTCCGGGAACAATACATTGATTTCACCAAACCATTCCTTAATCTTGGCATAAGCATACTTTTCAAAACTCCAGAAAGAAAGAAGCCAGGACTGTTCTCGTTTCTGAACCCTCTCGCTCTGGAGATCTGGGTGTATGTGGTTGCTGCCTACATGTTAGTGAGTTTCTGTATATTCGTCCTGGCGCGATTTAGTCCCTACGAGTGGTATAACCCTCATCCTTGTAACCCGGACACAGACACAGTGCAAAACACGTTTGATCTCTCCAACAGTTTCTGGTTCTCGGTGGGAACGCTCATGCAGCAGGGCTCTGACGTCAATCCACGTGCTATTTCCACCCGGATTGTTGGCGCCACCTGGTGGTTTTTCACTCTTATCATTATCTCGTCCTATACTGCTAACTTGGCGGCATTTTTAACAGTTGAACGAATGATATCACCCATTGAGAGCGCAGAGGGACTTGCAGCCCAAAATAAAATTAAATATGGAACTTTGGAAGGAGGATCTACGATGACATTTTTCAGGGTATGTGCACTATGTGCATACTTTAATTTACATTATATCATGGCTGTAAGCACTGTAAACAAGGAATATCAATATTGCTAGTACAGTCATTTTCACTGGAAACGTATTTTCAGATTTATGGTGGTATGTTTCTTTATTCAACAACAGTGAAATGATTGAAATATTTTGTATTCATTTGAATTTCGAAATATGAAGTATTAGAATGGTATTTTTCATGAAAGAAAAATAGTTTACATCTATCCGTATATATATTTAGACTTTCGACAAATATAAAGAATATAGTCTGTTTATAGTCCTTTTTTAATTTCAGGATTCCAAAATAGACACATATCGCCGTATGTGGCACTTCATGAGGACTAACCCTGATATGTTCGTGAAAGACGCAAATGAAGGCGTTACAAAGGTTAAGGCCGGTAACTACGCTTATTTAATGGAATCTACGTCTATTGAGTACGAGGTTCAACAGAATTGTGACCTCATGCAAGTGGGGGGTCTTCTGGACTCCAAAGGTTTCGGAGTTGCCACGCCCATGGGTAAGTTATCACGAAGCAATATAGTATCCATGAAGTTCTAGATATTCTATTTTTATTGAAGACTGATAATAAAAAATGCTATTTTACCGAAGAACGACCATTTACGCCAGCAAAGACAGTACATGTAAATGGTATTTTCGTATTTGTTCTTTAACAAATTAGACAGTGAATGGCCAAAAGTAAACAAGAAGATTTTTTTTTGTTATCCAAAATTAATAAAAATCACAAAAAGATGCATATATGTTCCTAAGTTGTTCCTGATGCTCCAATCCACAGGGTTCTTAAAGCCTTATTTTATCCATAAGTCTACTCTACTTATTCCGAGGCTGGCCCCCTTGAGAAGCAATTGTGTAAAGGAACTTCTGTCAAAAACACATAAATATATTGCTCACTCCTCACACGTCTGAAAACTCCTGTCAATATTTACACGCCATTTTAGTCCTAACAGACATATTGGAACTGCTTTTGGCTATAATCAAAGTCTGTATGTATTTGTTTTTGTCTGTAGGTTCGCCATTAAGGGACAAGCTGTCGTTGGCCATTCTTCACCTCCAGGAGGACGGCAAAGTACAAGAACTGTACAACAAATGGTGGAAGGGGTCAGGCAAATGTATGTCTGAACGCAAAGCCATTGAATCCAAGGCCAACGCGCTGGATGTCAACAACGTGGGCGGCATTTTTGTTGTCCTCCTCGGCGGTCTAGCAGTGGCCGTTCTTGTGGCCTTCCTGGAATTTATTTGGAAATCCAAGAAAAATGCCAGAGAAGACAGAGTAGGGAATTATAATGCCAAATTGTTAATACAGACAGTTTCGCTTATTTTTATTTAAAATTTTACTAAATTTAAAAGTAAATGAAATTAAATGAATTTGAAAATTTGCAGAATGATTGAAATCGCTGTAGATATGCAGAAAAAGTTTACAACGAGAATCAAAATGTACGTTTATTCAATGCTTTCCAAAACGTTAAATAATGAATAAAGTAAAATATTTTGAATTTCAGCAATCGCTGTGTTCCGAAATGATACAAGAGCTCAAGTTTGCAGTTCGTTGTCACGGCTCATCAAAAAAATCAAAAACAAAGCGGAGTTGTGCCAAGTGTAAAAAAGGCCATAACGCCTCATGTCCATTGACTGTTGATATGCCAAAAGATTCTAGTTCATCCAATGGAATTCTACCCCTCAGGGAACTCAGAAAATCCCCTGTATCTAGGGGTAGGGAATTTTCATTTGGAGAGGGGGCATACATGCACGTGGAATATAGTGACGCAGAGACGTGACAAAAGGTTTAATCCGTCACAAAACGGATAATTTTGTCAGTGTGCCTTAATACACTTGTCTCATTTGTTCTTTGGTGTATTCTTTTCGTCAGATCGTTCTCTGTTTTCAGGTTATATAATTCATGTTTTATTCATAACGGTGATTTTCGCTGAATAATTTGTGATAGACTGTGATATTTTTCATGCTACATTCTATCATTGTATCATGTTATCATCATTGAAACATATTGTAAAATGAATACGTAGAAGAGTTTCGTCATGTATTTTATTTAAATTTTGTTGTTTACGACAGCTCCTTCACTTGATTATCCATTTGGATAAATACATATTATTATATATAAAATGAATGTTTGCATTCAAGTTATTTTGAATAGTAAAGACTTATCCATTTGGATAAATACATATTATTATATATATAATGAATGTTTGCATTCAAGTTATTTTGAATAGTAAAGTCTTTTACTTCTTCTTTACCCTAATTCTATGTTCTGAATTTCTCGGCTAGGGGAGTATTTTGTTAAAATGAATTAATTTAAATAAATGAAAAAAATAATTAATTGGTGCAACACATTCCATATGACATATTCATGTTTAAAGATAAATTACATGTATATTGGTTGTTACTACGTAAGGAATGAAGCTCATTTCAATTTATGTTGTACGATAATACATAACTTGGGACAGTTTACGCTCTATAAACCGCGAAGCAGGACAGAATGTTCATTCTATTGGAATGAAATTTGCACCAACAACACAAGAGGTGATATCACTTCTCCTGACAAGAAACAATCACTCCTTATTTCTCACTAGTACTTTGAGTAATTTTGCTGACTATTCTGCAGGAGCACATCCATAGTTTTTTCTACGACCAGAATGCAAGGGTGTTTTGTCAATAGTTTTGTCTACTCCTCTCCCGATTCCTTTTTGACTTCAGCGACAAAAAGCTTATATCTTTGTTGATTTGTTTATCCTTGATATCCTTAAGCAAGAAAACATCAACTCAGTGTGTCGTGTAGCATTCTCTCTGTTAAAGAACACAATTACTGCTTGTTTACATTCTTTGCTCTGATTAACATCTTCTAAATCATATAAATATTTTTGATTCAATTTCGGAAATCTTTCTACGTTCCCTATGTTTTTCTGTATCCTTAAAATGCATTGACAAAAAGTTGAAAGATATTAAAGGAAAAAATCCAGTTTGAGCTCAAAGTTCATTTTCTTGACAACCCAAGGCTCAACATATCACTTGAGAATGACATATCCATTACTCTTCACATATCCATTACTCTTCATATCTGAATTTGCTTTGCATCAAAAATATGCTTTCTCCCTCGAAAGAAGACGTGATTTCAGCATTCACAATCTCAACAAAATGGTATTGGAATATCATGCCTTGTGATTAAATATTCCTAAGTTAGTTACTTAGCATTTAAAAATTGCACTTACCTGTCACTGGTCACTAAGTTAACAATTAACATGAATGTAAATTTTTTAACTGTTAAAAACCTTCACCTGAGACAGTCCAATAAGTAGACAATACTTACTAAATATAAGGGATGAGAAAAAATTCTAAGAGAGTACATTCTGAAAACAATAGAGTAATCATGTTTTAAGTAGGATATAGACCTCAAACTGTCCATTCTGTGAGAAGAAAGAACTATTGTCAGCCCTAACGGACCTCCAACAGTTCTCTTTTCTCAAAGTATGGACAGTTTTTGGCCTATAACCTTTGTTTGAATTATAATGGGATAATACATAAATCTTACAGTATAGATTGTGAAATTTAATTGACTTGCAATTCATTTTACAAGTTAACAAGTCTTTTGCCCATATTTCAATAGAGGAAAAGGTTTTCTTTCCGGCAAACGTGATGGGGAAAGTTTATCTACCTTATATAAAAATACAATTTGATGACGTCAACACTTACAACTTGTATGTATGTATTCATATATGGAATAAACAACTTACTTGGGCGTATAGCAGTAGAGTATGGGGACTTTAAGTCCTTACCAAACCCCTCTTTTATTGATGATCGATAACATAAATATATATTAATGTAATTATTCTTACAATAAGGCTACAAATGAAATTAAATTATCGGTAAAATTCACAATCTTGTAGGATTGTGTTACACATTTCATGATGTAGAAATTTAGTCTTTGGCCAAATCAGCGGGTATACAAGGTTGATTTACAATAACAATGAATAAAAGGTTAATGAAGCGTTCGGTTTCTTGGAGAGTTTAGTACAAAACAGTTTAACTTTGGTTATAAATTAGACACATATAGTACAATTTCTTCATATATTGCACAATTGTCGTCTTCTTTTTCTCCCGGTGAAATGCATTTAGAAGTGACATATTTGAAGTTAAAGGCTCTACAATGTATATTTAATATTGCACATAGTTAAAATCAGTAAAAGAAAAGTGTTAATGACAAAAATAAATTGACGTCACATGTTTTCTACATGTATCAGTCTAGTTTTCTAACATATCTCGAAACTTTTAAACTTCACTTGAACTTTCGGTCACAATTTTGTCACCATTTGAGGAAGAAATGATTCCATTGCTGATCGCGTTCTCTTGATCGTTGTTTTGCAAAAGCAGTATCTTTTCTTTACTTGGTAGGTTCTGATTGGCTAGCTTATCACTATTGTCATCGATCTGTCGTTCATCTTCGCTCCTTGTTTCCAGATCGTCCCCTAAAACGCTGACTGAAGATACACTTTTGGGAATTTTCTGGAATTTACAGCATCTGACGGCGAAGTAGAGTTGTTGTTTAATTTCAAACCATAATGAATTCTGTAAAACAAAAAGGAATCTAAAACTCAGTTCAGCTACTAGTATATCATTTTTGAATACGCTGTAGAACAAAATAAATACTTTCTTTGTCAACGGTACGTCAGACATTGATTATTACTATTAATACCTCTCCTTTCTTTGCTATTTTTCTAGCGTTACAGATGAATTCAATTACAGCCATCAGTAGCCCACAGACAGTGCCCGTCAACACGAGAACAAAGACGCCACCTACATTCTTAAGTTCTAGAGCCTTTGTAGATGGCGCTTTATCGTCGTCACAAAATTTGTTGATATTTTTCCTTTTCCACCATTTGTCGTACAGGGATTGAATTACGCCCCCTTCTTGTAGATGCAAGATGGCGCTTGAAAGTTTGTCTCTGTATGGTGAATCTTGAAGAGAAAAAATTTTCTATTGAAGAACAAAATATGAATATATAACGCGAGACCATTTTTTCACATTGATGGAGAAATGGACAAATTTTCATGTTATTCCATGGTTGGGCGCTATATCTTATTTCATGTTATATTCTTGTTTTTCATCATTCATATACATTTGCATGACTGTATTTTACTCCTATAAATGTTGATCACAAATGTATGGTCAACAAATATATCCATCCAACAATTTAAGAATTGGCTTGCATAGTTTTACCTGACTATAACAATAGATCCGAATTTAAATGATACTTAGTCAAGTTAATTTCGAAATATTTTTCTCGTCGGTTCTTATACATTGGCGAACTTTGCTCTGTTTAGACAAATGAAATTGAAACATTATAAAACAACACATGCATATTTTAAGAACAGCTATCTAAGGCTATTAATATGTAAAAGTATCTACTTCAAATTATCTACATCTAATATAACCTCTGGGAAGTCCAATCCCGTAACCTTTGGAGTCGAGTTGTTGTCCCACCTGCATGAGGTCACAGTTCCTGGCGATTCGATACTCTACCGTTGTCGATTCGGCCAAGTAAGCATAGTTTCCCGCCATTACTCGCTTTTCTCCCTCATTGGAGGATTTTACAAACACGCTTGGAGTAGCTGATTTCATGGCCATATACATCTTTTTGTATAATTGGGCATTGGAGCCCTGTAATTGAGCATGTTCAAAGGGATCAAATTAATTCAATTTTACTGAGAATAAAACAAAGATAAACCACTTCAATATTGACTGTTCACAAAAAAGGTAACTCAAATGAAAATTTCAGGGTGACTCACAGCAAAAAAAGCTCGACTGCTCCCCGACTCAAGTGTCCCATACTTGATCTCGTTTTGATTTGCCAGATCCTCAGCACTCTCGATTGGATTCACCATTCTTTCGATCGTAAGGAAAGCAGCCATGTTGGCGGTGTACGATGAAATCATGATCAAGGTGAAAAACCACCAGACGCCTGCTACCAAACGAGTTGAGGTAGCTTTTGGAGAAATCTCTGAACCTACATGCATTTCATTTTATATGTTTTATGATACATTTTTAAAATGAATTTACCTTAAACACAAGAGTAGCAATTAAGACTCCCGCCATACCTTGTTGCATTAATGCTCCTATGGTGAACCACAGACTATTCATGACAGAGAATTGGTTCTCCTGAATCTCGTTTGTGGTGTCACATGGGTAAGGATTGTCCCATTCGTTAGGTGTCAGTCGGGCGGTAACAAACATCATGATACTGACCACAATATACACCGCTAAGACGTAGGCCCAAAGTTCGAATGTGAAAGGTGAAAGAAATTTAAACAGTTCGGCAGGGGGCGCCATCGGTTTCCGGAATAGGATTGTTATGCCAAGGTTCCAGAAAGGCTTTGTGAAGTCAATGACTTCTTCACGGCTGTATGTGATAGTCATACCTGCCACAGCTAAATCCACTTTCTTGATAAATAAAAAATGTATTTTTTACTTTTAAGGTCAGACGAGACGTTCCTCAAAAGCTGTTTTGTATATCTTCGTAATGTATGAAAAATATTCAAAATTTTCATATCATTCTGATTTCTAAACCAGTTTCTAGACGTTTTTAAAAAATCCAAACACTTAAACATTTGAAATTGGAAAATTATTTTTCTTCCCCAAAGGGTTATATAAGATAAATAGAAAAATGTAGTAAACATGTTTAAGTAGCAACACTTCAATGACAAACTCTTAGAAAAATTTATCTATTATTAAGGAACGTCTCGTCTGTCCTTAATATAACTTTCACATTAAACATAGTAATGGTAGTGCCGAAAGCAAGTAAAAAGCACATATCTTATCTATTTAAGGAATCACTGTCTAGTTAGTGTACTATGCCAGGGCATCAACGATAGTGGGAAACATGGGATAATTTGCATAACGGGCAAGCCCGTTATGCTAAATTATCCCATACTAACTAGGCATACTATACTAACTAGACAGTGATTCCTTATATTTCCATTTCATTGTGAAATAAAATTGTAGATTTAGACTTTTAAAATGTAGACTAATAGATTTAAATTACACGAGGACTTCCACGCCAATTTCAATAGTTCTCGCCCACTGTTGTCAAACACAAAGGTAGCCGCACGAGATTTACATGCATGTTTGGCCTCCTTAACATCAGACACAGAGACAGATGCGCACGAGATTTGCATGCGTATTAGGCCTCCTTAGCTCCTGACCTATCGACCTGCCTAATTTACATTCAGGCAGAATTATCAAGAAATAAACTCCCCTAACTCTCAAAGAGTTATCACAGAGAAAAAAATTAGAAATGGAAATATGTACGTATCAACTTCAGAACAGATGAAATTTATCCTTATTTATTCCATAAATAAACTTGCCCTTTCTACCAGCTGTTTGACCATTCCATCACAGACATCGCCATAACAGTTACCATAGTGACCGTTAGGTTCAGGGGTCACGTTGTACCTGAAACCGAGTATTTCTGCGATAGAATCTAAAAGGTCAATGCAAAATCCCTCATAAGATACTGTCCCGTTATCGTCTATGATTTCAAACACGTAGGGAGGTTCCTGGAAACAGATTGAAGCTAATGTTGAATTTAATGTTACTCATTTACATTCCATACATTTATATCTATTAGAAGCAGCTTTATTGGATATTCATCATTTGTAAGTTCTCTCTTTCATTCTTCTAAGCAATCACCACCCTAAGGTTTTCAATTCAAATTTCCTTGAGAGAAACAACGTACGTCATGACATGCCTTACCAAGACGGTGATGACAGAGAGTGTTTTATTGGTCAGGAGGTTTTTTCTGACGTCAGTGGGAAATTCGGATTTAGCTGTTATTTTTACCCCTCGATTATGGTCCCAAGTACCGATCTGATAAAATAAAACTGATTCCATTAGTTTGCACAAAATAGATATTGGATCTTTATAATCAAGATATCCTGCTGTTAAATTAGGAGACTGCCATGTAAAGAATAAAGAATTTTCTTGCAATATTTATACACTTTTTCTCAGCATTACAGTAAGACCTTGAAGGAAATACCTTAAAGAGAGGCTTTTCTTTAACTTTGACCACATCCAGAGAAAAATTATGTCGTTCCCCAAGATTGTTTAATCGAATCCTCCCCGTCAGTCCTTCATACGTCACCTAGGCAACCGTTTAATCAATGACTTTGGGGGTCAAAACATCAAACAGAAAGAAGTTTGTGAATCAAAGACTTTTGAGTAACTCACCATCTTGAGAGCGTTGATGAGGGAGTTTCCGTTGAACCATGGCAAAGAATTATTTCCGCCTTCACAACTGACCTTCCGGTTAAAGTTGACATGGCGTCTCTTTGTAAGGAGGTCGACACCACGATACAACAGATTAATGGCGTCATACATTAACGCCGCTCCAACCTAATATAAACACTATTTAAAATATATTTCTATTTCTTTATAGTTATCCTGTCAATCTGCTGTCTGGTTATTTTTTTTTTATTTCTGAATAATTTAATTTCAGTTGTAACACGTCATTTGATTGGGTAAAAGATTTAATCCATTTCGTATAACATAACTTGCCTACGTCACCATGAGTTACGTCAAAAACGTATCACTCCGCTTGACGTTACTTTTAAAATAATGCTCAATTTGAAGCCTTTTTCTGGAGGATATATTGTTTCATTGTCTGCATTGAAATTAAATTATAAGAAATGAAGCTTATTTCAACTTACGTTATCCGATATAACCCCTTCGCGGTTTATAAAGCGTAAACTGCCCCAAGTTATGTTATATCGGATAACATAAGTTGAAATAAGCTTCATTCCTTAAATGAAATAATCGTCATAGGTTCTAAGGGGACGACCATTTGATTCTGATGGGGGGGGGGGGGGGCTGGCAAATTTTTTTGAGACGGATTATTTATTTTCATGCCTGTCAATGACAGAATTATTTATTTTCAAGATTATTGAGGACAGATTATTTATTTTCTTCTTTGTCTTACGGTACCTTTATCGATTGATTCTAAAAGACTAATCATTTATACACCATAGGCGGATTCAGGATGGGGGGCGTGTAAAACTTCATTCAGGCAAGAGGTCTGGGGCCGCCTTAAGGCCCCCAGTGGGTCCGGGGCGAAGCACTGGTGGAGGCCAAGGGAGGGAAATTCCCGAGAAGCTCTTGGGTTTTCGGGTATTTTAAGAGTAAAACCTGGACAATTATAGTGGTATTGGTTATTATGTAGCAAAGTATGACATTATTAATATTGGTCATATCATACTTTGAATGAAGGGGGTCCAGGGGGCGAAGCCCCTGAAGCTCGTGGGTTTTTGTGTATTTTAAGAGTAAAACCAGGCACAATTATCTAGGAATTGGTTAGTTATGTTGCAAAGTACGACATAATTAATACTAGTCATATCATACTTTGGATGAAGGGGGCCCAGGCGGCGAAGCCCCCTTAAGCTCTTGGGTTTTTGTGTACTAGTATTTTAAGAGTAAAACTAGGCACAAAAATATTGGTATTGTACTAAAGTATGGCAATATTAATATAATTCATATCATACTTTGAAATTTTAGGGGAGGCGTCATACACATGTATGCCTTCCTTAAAGCCGCAACTGTATACTTTGTAATTAATTTATCGGGAAGTATAATTCTTTGACAAGAAAATTTATCTTTTGTGGTGTTTAAGAATTTGCTTGTATTTAAAGTGATTCATCACATCTACTGAGTGCACATTGTCATGTTGATCAACTGACTACAAGTATCCAGTCTGGTAATCTGATTTTAAATATTATTTGGTTCTAAAATGGCGAACGAAGCGAGCCAAAAAAAAAAATGCTGAATTGAAGATTCTGAGGTTAAATTACACAGAAATCAAAAAAGGTATTTTCACAATATTTAAATATCATAAGTCAAGGTCAGATTATTTATTTTCTTTGCAGGGGAGGACGGATTATTTATTTTCAACAATTTCAGGGACAGATTATCTATTTCCAAAATCTGCCAGCCCCCCCCCCCTTAGAATTAAATGGTCGTCCCCTAACTTTAAATGCACATTATTCAGAAACTTCAGAGACTACTGACCGGTACTTGCGTTTGACCCGGGGTCAAAGGTGAAAGGCTGAAAGAGCTGGATTCTAGTTCATTCTTCCAGAGATTGACAACAGCGGCAACCTTAGGGTTTTCAAGGTTAACAAGCCTCATTCCAGTGATGTTTGCCCCAGAATACATAAAGGGAGACAAATCCACTATACTAAAATCCTAAAACAAAGAGGCAAAGAAATGTATGTTCAAGTTATGCATCAAAGTAAAGATGATCGGAGAGGTATTATAAATGAACAAAGGATAAAACATCAAAGGATTTTGTTAATAAAGAACAAAAGCTTTAACAAACTCACCAGGTTGGTAAAGTGAAAGTGAAAGTACTCGGTGAGTACGTTTACTTGCATAGCCTAAAAAAACAAAATGACAATTATAAAAATATCAATTCGTTACAACTTTTAAGAATTTCGTACATTGAAAATATTATTACTTTTTTCAGTATCAGTTGTATGTGTGTGGAGTGACAATCTATTACGATCCTGTTTTCACCGGCATCTTTAAGGCCTAAAAATAATTCAAGAAAGCTTCTTGGATCCCTAACGTTGAGTTGTTGTAAGTTGATTCTTACGTCTGGTAGAGTAGTCAAACTGAAGATTTCTTGAAGTCGAATAAGACCTGGAGCAGAATTTAACAGGTCTAGGCGGCCTCTATTTTTGGAGGATATATTTTATCCTCTAGAAACAGAGGATAGAGGTGTCGCCACCTACCGGACTTTTCAAAACAAAGCAACTCTTGCAGTTCTCGGTTTATGTACCGTACGCTGATTTTTGAACCCTTTCCTGTCTGAAAATTAATTATAGCCAAGCTCATTTTCTGGTACCATAATTTATGTGTTAACAGTATTAAAGTTAAAAAAAAACAACAACATTTTTTTGAAAAATTCAGTTTCATTATTATTTCATTTAATGACAGGATAGAGATGTTTTTCTTTGAAGTTTGCTCTTCTGCATGGGTCGGAGTGATCATAGCTACTTTCCGTTCTGTATTAGTCTTCTGTACTCCTAAATAAGCCAACTAATCTGTATCTAAAATACAGCACGGTCAAAAAACAAATCTGATCCAATTTATCAAAAGCTCGTAAACATATTAAAGTAAAGAGCTGTGTGTATCGCCTGTACGTGTATCTAATTAAATTGAACTATTAAGACCCCTGAAATAAATTGGGATCAATCTCCATCTACAGCAAGGTTATACCGTCCTCCATATCAGTTAAACTTAAATTCAATTACGTCTACCCGTTGTTGACATCAAAACTAATCTGACTGAAACTTACGTTGTCCGTGGAAATATATATATACTGCGGATGTATACTCCCCGTCGAGGCCTCATCCAGTAACTCTAGCTGAAGTTTGGATGCTGCACAGCTAAAAAGTGGGTTTTTTTCTTGATTTCTCTAAATAATATTTATTTTATCTTTGCTTACATTATCAGGCAGAGTGTATTTTGTCTTTACAGTATTTTTTCTTTTGTGTATCTTTTTTCTCTAATTTTTAATTAAAAGAAAATATGAAATTAATGTTATTTATGTATTGTTTGAGCATTTATAAATGCCATTTTATTTGTCCTGATAGGGAAAAATATAAAAATTAAACAACAACAAAAAAAAACAACAAAAAACAAGAAACATTAAGTAGAAATGAAGCATAAGAAGTGCCAACTTTGAAAGCGTATTGTAAAAATTCTAGACATAGAATCTCAAATCGCCACATACAATCGATAGTTTAATGTTTGATCTTTTAATTAATTGTACTCTGGTGCTTGCACTTTTTGATTAAAGGTAGGCACGAGGCGTTTGAAAATAACCTGTGTTATCCTCTGAATTCAGAAGATAAACTACCCGACATTGCGTTGCGATTTCCATATATGGTAAAAAATTTGGTTGCCATATTGAATCTAGCTATCCTCCAAAAACGGAGGCCGCCCAGACCTGTTTAAACAACATCACTAGGATGATTTCAGTAAATAAGAATTATTATTTATTCATCATCAATAATTTGTGTCACTCGAGAGTTTACCTGCGTTGTCTTCGTAAAGCATCGTAAACTTTCCCCATTTCCAGTGTTTGATGAGATCTCGGTGTGCTTGGCTGAGTGCGAGATAGTGGGGGAACAAATTAACAGAGACCCCACGGCTCTCCTTTGACCCGGAAGGAATCTCATCATGGATATTGATTAGCGGGATTTCCAGGTTTTTGCTGATAGACTTGATGTAATTTGCCGCTTTTCCAGGAGACGGACCAAAAATTACTTTTGCACCAGCCTCAATTCTGCGACAGACTATACAAGAGAGGATTTATTGTACAGTAAGCTAAAGAAAACCTTTAACAATAAAGATCTGATAATGTATAAATATTACAAGAACATAATAATTATCTATTTCCAAATTGATTAGAGTTTAAAAATTAGATTAACATGACTTTACAGTCACTTTACATAATTTTTGTAATTTGAAAATTTGGTGTTGTTTTTTACCATCCGTGCCAATGCTTATGGAATTGTTCTTGACTCTGTTGGAGGTGTACACCAGTAGGATGGGCGTGGTCCTGTTTCCCGGAAGTCCCCTCAGGTTCACATGCTGACAGGTCCACCTGAATGACAGCTCCGTGGGCGTGTCTTCAGAGTCAAAGAAACCATCTGGAACAATCATAGTATGAACAAAGTTTAGTTCAATTTCAAGTACTACATTTCACTTTCATTATGAATAAAATTTGAACGTAAAATGACATATAAAACTCATTGTTACTATAGTGGGGGATGAACTAATAGATACTAGTAAGATGTCAATTGCATTAACAGTTTTACAACGTATCTTTATGTTTACTAGATTCACATTGATCCTGTATTTAGATATTAGTATGATGTTTCCGGTATACCTATGAGTACATCTGTGGTATCCACATTTCTGAAGACCAGCGTTACCAGGACCAGGTCGAGTAGTGAAGCCATTCAAGACAGAACACGCACCTGTAAAGCGTTAGACACAGTTCTAATGTTCAGCGATAGTTCAGTTCACGGTGCTATAAAAGAACCAGATCACCAACTTCAGGGTTACTGAATGTCAACAGAATCATTAATAATGAGTAAGGTTGGTAAAACTAACAGGGCTGTTGCGTTTGCTGTATTTTGAAAAATACATGTTTTTAAAAAATTGAAACTTATATTCAAAGGAAGGTTCAAATGAAAATGTGATTTGATTTCATTAATAGATTTATTTATTTACATGTTTTCGATTAATCATCATTGCATTGTGCATTTTCTTTGTAAGAGGACAATATACGTTTGAAAATGATTAAGTCATTGAAAATAAAAGCAGCATGACACGACGAAATGAAAGTTAAGTAAATGCATGTAAAATACAGGAATGTCTTGAACAAATGAAAACTATATATCTCATGTGTTACAACTGTAAATCCGTAAGCACTAAACGTAAAATTCAAATTCTTAAATGATTATATTGAAAACAAATATGTAATTTTATCTAAAACGAATTCTTAACAAACTTTAAAAATTTTAATTCTCGGGAGATTTTTTGAATACATGAAATCATGTGTGTCTATAATCCAATCTCGGCTTGAATTAGCCTTGGTTTATACTAAAACTTACCTTTGATGTCCGATAGTTAGCCTTCAGGACTGCGACAATATGTCCTTGTCTTTAACTTTTACGTCCTCATGGTCATCCTCATTAAAACTCCATCGTCATTGAAAATTAATAATCGATTTACAAATCCTAATTTTAAAATTTTTTGGGCTTACTATGCAAAACTTTGCATTCCAAACTGAATACACAAACTTCGTTATGTAACTCATCTTTCATGAGAGGATAAATTAACCGAATTTAAATCAACTTAAAATACGCTGTGGACAATGATGGTATAATGTTTCTAATTATTCAGTCCTAATGACAAAGGGGGAAGTCTCAAAAGGGGTATCGATGTCGTAATATAAGAAAAACATGGCGGAGGTCACGAGGCATATTATTGGATGGGTGTTTTATGCGAACATTTTATCAATAAGATCAAGTGAAATGAGAGTATATATTGATCTAATTAGTTTACACAAGGTACAACGATAGGAAGAGATTAAAACATATCTCAGACAAAAAATAAATTGATTTTACTTCATATATAATAATTTTGATATTTTTAAATGGGGATGCGAATCATGTGCTCGTTTCTAACGCATCCCTGAGCCCCTAAAGGCCTTGATACAAGAAGAACAACACCACCTTAACAATATTAATTACACAATTAAGAAAAGAGAAAAACTTTTTATTGTTCAAAACACCTCAAACTTTCATAATACATTTCAATAATGAACTTGATGATATATATTTTCTTCAGCACCAGACAAATACTTATATGATGTATTTGTGTTTATCAAAGAAATGAGTGCCGATACAGAAAAACATGAAACATATGACGAGGTAACGATAAGTTTATCTTTTTAATGCTGTGTTCATTATATTTGAAATCAAAATCCCTGACTTGCGAAGCAAAAATTTGAATATTCATTTAGAACACCAAACTCTTGACCTATTGGAGTACTTGAGCTTTTAAAGTAAAGTAGCCAAATACTTTTCAAAAAGAAATATTTTCTTCAAGTTTCAGTTTTGGAATAATAAATTTTAAATTGATATTATTACAAAAACTACATTATTATTTTTCCTACCTATATTGGGAGTGGTGGTGATTTTTATATGTTAACCCAAGAACGATATAAGATAGTAAAGCATCTATCATATCTCCATAGGAAGTTAAAACTTAGACAGCCATTTAAAATACTGTCAACTTCTAGTATATGTATGGGTAGTACAGTTAAATTGCTTCGTCATACAGTAAAAGTATGAAATTTAAAAAAAATGTATATCAAAATTTTTACGCAACTTAAAGATGAATAATATTCACCTTAACAAAATATTAAACCAAGGCCTGTATATAGTATGGTATAAATATATAAATAAAAGGCATAGATAACATAAATAGCAAAATACACATCAAACGAAGACCCATCCAAGTTCTATAAATATAAAAGTCTGAGACAAAAACAAGTCCTAGCCTGTTCTAATTCTTTCTAAATCTTTAAATTCAAACTTCAATAAATTATCACATACAAACAAGTTTATGCTAAAGGAAACGAGTACGACATTTTCACTTAGTCAAATCATATTAGTAAGTTGAATAAGTCACGTATGAACACACGAGTATAACCTAAACAAACAGTACACAGGAATGTCGTGGAAAGGTATAATTCTAATGGAATGAAATCAAATGAAAATTTTAAACATGAATTACAAACTTTTTGGAATGAGTATAAATGAAAATTGATATGACAAATAAAGTTCGATGTTCACATGAAAGCAATCTTCTGAAACATAGTATCACTACGAACAAACTATGTCATAAAAACGAATGAATGTTGATTCATGAAAATAAATATATACATGTACCATTGTGTAAAACTAATTACGTTAAGGTCAGACGACACCTTCCTCAAATACATGTTTTGTATCTCTTTGTGATATATAAAAAATATCCATATTTGTCATTCTCTTCTGATTTCTACATTGTTTTCAAAATGTGTTTAAATACATGTGCACAATAAATGGTATTATAGGCCATTCAGAAGATTATCTATAAGTGTTATACAAGAAATATGACCCAGTGGTATCTTGTCCAAATGCCTGGTAAGGTGTACTACCCTAATTTTTTGTGAGGAATCATGTTTAAATATCTAGACTTCAATTGCAAATTCATAAGAAAAATTATATATTTTTGAGGAACCTGTCGTCTGACCTTAAAAAGGCACTTTTCAATCAAAACTTTATACATCTAAATCACTGAAGCCTGAATTCATTAGGCATGTATATCTCGAATAGTGTTTGCGTACTCGTGTCCCAAAGACGCCGTGGACACTGCATTCCGAGAGAGGTCGCTTTTACTAGCCCTGATCACGTGGTCAGCCGGTTTTGATGAAGGCCCAAAGCAGCGCAAGGCGAAACATAATTCATCTTTAACTTGGGTACATATCGGGTCCTATAACAGCATAAAGAATATCCTTTAATGTATAATGTAGACTAATGACTATGTGAATGTAGATAGAAACTCGATATGAAAATATTTTAACTAAGTGAGAGAGAGAAAGAGAGATACCGGAAGGTCCCTTTTAGTCCAGGCATAGTAGATGAACTCAATGACTGCAATCACCATAGCGATACCGACTCCGCCCATCAGTACTACGAATACCCCGCCTATGTTCTCTATTTTGAGGGCGTTGTTATTATCCTTCTTCTCCGATTCACACGTCTGGTTTATGTACATCCTCTTCCACCATTTGTTGTAGAACTTCTTGATGATCTGGTTGTCCATTAAGTACAATATCTCCTGTGATATCTTGTGTCTGTACGGAGAGCCTTAGTACAAAAATAAATTTCAAGATAGAAATTTCATGATCAATTTTAAGTTTCCAAATATCATATAAATCTTATTTACAAAAACAAATAAACCTCCGAATTTCTAAGTCGGATCCAGCGCAAAGAGGGGTGACAAGCGAGATATTAACTTTAATAGCAAAACACTAAAGAACAACTTTTGTCCCTCCATCGAAATCCACTATCCCTTTCCTTTAAAGGAAGAAACAAAATCATAAAGAGGCGCGTCTTGTTCATAACATGCGGTTCTAACCTTTAGGTAAAGCAATTCCATATCCGACCGAGTTGAGCCAGTTTCCGATCTGCATGAGCTCGCAGTCGCGCTCCACCTTATATTCTACTGTTGTGGATTCAGCAAAGTAGGCGTAATTCCCCTTGAGTACGCGTTCCTCCCCCTTAGCAGAATTCTGTACAAACACTGTAGGTTTCTGCTTTTTCATAAACGCAAACATTCTCTGATACACAGGAAAGATGGAATTCTAAAAATGAAACAATTAGTACTTATATTTCTATTAAAAGAATAAATAGAGAACTGTATCTTTTACATTTCAAACCTGTAGCACAGAATGTCATGATGAATTGGGAAACAAATAAAGTATTTTTTTTCTTTTCATTTCCTTTTTCTGTTTTAAGTTATCACATCTTCTTTCACGATTTTTCCCCTTATTTCATATGCATGGATATTCCCTATATTGTAATGCTTTGTAAAGGAGAAATGCCTAGTTTCTCAATTCCCTAAAATGCTATAAGAAAAGTTTTTACTTCAAAAATACAATTTCTTATATTACACTGATCGGTATTCAAACCTGGAAGAAACTGTAGGTTGATCCTGTTTGTAAAGTGCCGTATTTGATTTCTGTTTGTTTGGAAAGGTCAGCAGCGCTTTCTATCGGTGACTGCATTCTGCCGGCCGTGAGAAAGGCCGCAAGGTTAGCGGTGTAAGAGGAAATAATAATCAGAGTAAAAAACCACCAGACACCCGCTACCATTCGGGTAGACACCGTCCGAGGTGCAAGCTCGCAACCTGTTAAATTAAAGAACATAAATTTAATTTATATTTCAAAACTAATGAAGGAATGTCATTAAGTTAAAATTATTCTTATGTCCTATGCTTGTCAAATTGGGTTCAGAAACTGAATTATTTGAGATCCATTCAACTCAAAATAGACTACAAGACGGACGATTAAAAGATGCTATAACTTTAGTAGTGCTTACCTTGCTGCAGGATTGATCCAATGGTTAGCCACATACTATTGAGAACAGAAAACTGGTTCTCCACAATGTCTTCGTCCTGATCACAGGGATAAGGGTTACACCACTCGTACGGCGTCAGTCTGGCAATGACGAAAAACATAAAACTCACACACAGATATATAGCAATCATGTACACCCAAACATCCTTGTGGAACGGATCCAGGAAAGAAAAGAGACGAACAGGTTTCGGTTTTGGTTTCCGGAATAAAATTGTGATACCAAGATTCCAAAAAGGTTTGGTGAAATCGACGTACTGCTCACGGGCCGACGTAATGGTAATGCCCCCAACAATTAAATCAGCTTTCTGTGAGGTAAAATGAAAATGACATTAATGCATAAAATTATCACGTGAGCAAACTGTTTGATCATCGTCATATAACCAATAACTCCGGCAGTTATTCATATTTTTGCATTTTCCTCATCACAAAAAAGATATATTTAAATTAATTTCATTCAATACTTAGAAATCAAAGTTTGCAAGCCCAGCTCAGTGTTTTTCTAAGCCACATGCAGAGAAAAGGCGGTTCTGTCACATGAATAGCAATGCAAATAGTTTTAAGAATTCCTTTATTTGTAGTTTAATCCCAAACAAAGACATACTAGTCTAGCATATCATTATTCAGGGTATCGAGACAACACATGATATCAAAAGTATATGGAGAATCATCATACCCTGTCAATTAACTTCTGGTACATCCCAGTGCAATAATCCTCATCCGGATAACAATTTCCGTACGAATCCTCCTCTTGTATTTCGTAATTGAATTTCATCTTCTCCGCAATGGCGTTAAGAATGTCAATACAGAATCCCTCGTATACAATGTTTCCGTTTTCATCTTTTCTCTTCCAAGCATAAGGGAGTTCCTTCAATGAATGAACAAAAAGGGTCATAAAAATAATTGTTCAAACCACCGAGCATGAGATCCTATATTCTGCTGATTAAGTATACTTTGAATGTTTAATCTGCTGATACGGTTTAAAAGTTAACTACTAGTATTTTTTATATAACGTACACTCACCAATACAGTCAGCACCTTGAGAGTTTTATTGAGCTTCGATAAAGGCTCCTCGTCGTCCGTGATGTTGAGGAATGGCATAGAATTCCACACGCCAATCTGTAGTAAAAATCGTAGTTAAACATTGAGTGGAACGATTCTGGTATCATTATGATTAATGTTGCCAGTACTTTAGTGAAGAAGTGCAATTAGAAATGCTGTCCAAAATCTAAATTTTAAGTTTCTTAAGGTTTCTATCACCACGGGACCCAATCTGGAAGCAGAGACTCATTCAAATCATAACATTTCATTAATGTATTATGTGTTTGGCAAGAGATTATGTTTCTAGGTTTAGTCGTTTCAAGATACATTCAAATCCGAAAAAACCTACTAAGTTTCTTCCTATTCAATATGCATGTATTTACCTTGTGGAGGTCGTTGTTCTGTCGGAGTTTAACAACATCCAACTCAAAATTTTTCCTCTGTCCATACTCATCGAATTCGATATTTCCGGTGAGCCCTTTTGTCTGTACCTAAGATATCATAATTATATAGATGTATATATATATATGTATATATGTACCGGCAATAACAGAGAAGAGTTCTGCTTATCTATTGAGGTAGAAGATATAATGCATCGAGACTGAGAGAGATATTAAGAGGTAAATACTGATGAGATATGACACAGAGGGATGCTAAAGAGAGGGGACACTGCAGTGATACAGAAAGGACAAAGAGAGGCAAGGAAGTACAGAAAGATGACACAGAGAGGGGTGATTTAAAGATACAATTCAGAGAGATTCTATAATGTTTCAGAGATGGAAAGTGTTACATAGAGAGATTATACTGATAGGTGATATAGAGAGGTGGTACACAGAGTTCAAACAAAGGAGAGACGGGGGAAGTCTGTTACAGATACTCTAAACATGTATATATGTACTTTATTAAGTAAACTGATAGATATCAACTAAAAGAGGAAGATACGCCTATAACGGAGAATGTGTTTTATTTAGGTGTCCTAAAAAGGAGAGTTGCTATTCAAAAGATCTTCATTGTAGACATTCTCATAATTTTGGGGCATTTTTCTTGGAAATAGTCATTTTCACGTACACTTTTCATGAAATCCAGTAATTCTTTCCCATAATTCCACGGTGTTGACGTGTCACATGATACCCTGTCAAATGACGTCAGAGCACGTGGGTTCTGTTCGTTCAAAGCATTTACCGCGTGAAAAAACACCCACACAGCATCATGCATTAGGGCAGTTTCTGTCTGTAACAAAAATAATATATGTATAAATAAATATGGTCCAATATAATTTTGATAAAATTACTACTTAATTTTCTTTGACTTAAGTTAAGAAAAACCTAAAAAAAAAAATAAGATGTTCGGTGTTTTGGAAGTATGATATACTGCATTATCATTGTATCATTTTGAATATTTTGAATAAATTAATACAATACCTGCTTTTTATAAACGAATGCTTGTTTTCTAAATTCTAACATGGAACAGAATAAATGAAAGAACTACAAAGCATAAATAACAACTGATATAAAATATATAGGTTGGGAGACTTGCTCTTCTGTAAGACGTTTTGGAAATATTTTGGTCCATGTGCTAGTACACTGTAAAGAAATATTCTTTTTCATCATGAAACAAAATGAATATTATGTGCTAAACACCAGTGAGTTTATAATTGTAGATACAAAACAAGTCAGAACAAGAGGCCCAGGGGCCACAGCGCTCACCTGAGCACACCAGCTAGGAAAAAGCAAATATCAGATCAGAAATGAAAGTTTACTGAGTTTGGAGGGGGGGGGCTTAAATTTTAACACCCTAGGGGGTCATGATTTGAACAAACTTGAATCTACACTACCTGAGGATGATTTCATATAAATATCACTGATCATGGCTTTGAAGTACTTTTGAAGGCGATTTTAAAAGATTTCCCTATGTATTCTCATGAAAAACTTTGATCGGCCATTTCGGCCCCATCCTAGCCCCGGGGGTCATGATTTGAACAAACTTAAATCTACACTACCTGAGGATGATTCCACATGAGTTTCATCTTTCCTGGCCAGAGGTTCTTGAGAAGAAGATTTTTAAAGATTTTTTCTATATATTCCTATGTAAAACTTTGATGGGCCATTTTGGTCCCATCCTAGCCCCGGGGGTCATGATTTGAACAAACTTAAATCTACAATACCTGAGGATGATTTCACATGAGTTTTATCTTTCCTGTCTTAATGGTTCTTCAGAAGAAGATTTTTAAAGATTTTTCCTATATATTCCTATGTAAAACTCTGGTCGGCCATTTTGTCCCCACCCTACCCCTGGGGGTCACGATTTGAAAAAAACTTGAATCTACAATACCTGAAGATGATTCCACATAAGTTTCAGCTTTCCTGACCCAGTGGTTCTTGAGAAGAAGATTTTTAAAGATTTTTCCTAGATATTCCTTTGTAAAACTTTGATCGGCCATTTTGGCCCCACCCTACCCCCGGGGGTCATGATTTGAACAAACTTGAATCTACACTACCTGAGGATGATTCCACATGAGTTTCATTTATCTTGGCCCAGTGGTTCTTGAGTAGAAAATTTTTTTAAAATGCTATTAATTTTTTCACTAATTCATAATTATCTCCCCTTGGAAAAGGGCGTGGCCCTTCATTTGAACAAACTTAAATCCCCTTTACCCAAGGATACTTTGTGCCAAGTTTGGTTCAAATTGGCCTTCGGCTCAGGTGAGCTAAAAAGTACTGCTTTATTGTATCCAGCATCACCACCCACTCCCCCATTGGAGTCCCATGTCTTTGTGACCACTTACTGGGATCTGCAGCTGTCCTTTTCGTAGTGGTGATTTGTTTCCCCGGATGTTGAATTGCAGCTGTTTCCATTCTTCTGTGACGTTCTTGACCAGGGATTGTTCTGGGTTGACCATCCTCAGGGCCGTAATATTGGCTCCGGCAGCAGCGAAGTCGGAAATGTCGGCGACCCCCAGGTCCTGGAATTACAAGAATAGCCCTTACAAACAAAGGCGTCTTCGACGCTGATCAAGGGTATATGAAATCGAGCACAGTAAATCATAAAGCTTACCAGTGTCATAAAATGGTAGTGGAAATATTCTGACAGAGCCTCGGTTTCGGCAGCCTGTAAATATTCTGATTATGTAAGTAGATGCAGTAAACTGTTAATTATACATATATTTTCTTTAAACTTTAACGAATGAGTTTATGGCATTAAAATAGAAGTATGTGTAGATATACAAATACCATTATGTAAATTGACTTAGTACATCCCTGGTATTGAATTTAATGTATAAAGAAATGGTTTTAGCATAAAGATTCTATTTAAAACAATGTTTCGTCAATAGTAAACTATATTGTTATCCATGTACATGTATACAGATTTAAGCTACAGGGCTTGGCCCGATCCGCCGCTTGATGTTTTCATACTTCTTGGTATCATCTTTAAGCACTTTATTTAATACAAAAGAATCCCACAGACCTTTTGGAGGACAGTGTACACCCTCTCGTAGTGACAGTCCACAATTATCTGCTGATATTCCGCCTTCTTCAGTTCCTCTAAGACTTTCGTCAGGTTCTCACTATTTACAAAGTCGATTTTTCTTGTCGCTATGACAACGCGACCTTTGGCTGACAGCTTCAAAATGTCTTGAAGTCGTATGAGGCCTACCATTTAGGAAGGTGAAATGGAAAGAATTTTTTATTAATTTCAAAATACAAACTTTCAGTCATTTTGCCCCCAAAAATCTATTTTTCCTATCGATACAATAAATTATTTCTCCTTTATAAGTCATACAAAATAAACATAGTAATCAAAAGTACGTCTTAACTATGATGTAAATATATTCATATAATTCATTCACTCATAATCTTTTAAAAACTGTTTTACAAATCTCAACAGTAACATACCGTCATTATCTTCATACAGTACGGCAAATTTGTGCCACTTCCAGAATCTGATCAGATCTCTGTGGGCAGCACTCAGTGTGTGGTGGTAGGGATAAAGGTTCAAGGTCATGTGGTTCCTATCGGGCCGCGTGGTGTCGGTCACAATCTTGTTCGAATTCCAGTGTATCTGAATGTTAGGTATTGACAGTTGGCTACACAGTGACGTCACATATTCTGAAGATATTCGAGAGTTCGTGCCGAATATCACTTTACTGCCAAAGGAAATCACTCTACAAACTGAATTAATTTAAAAGTATTTATCACAAAAAATATTTTATGCTGGCTTAGTGCAAGGGTACTTAACATTAATCTGAGTGTACTAAACCTTTTATGGCAATTCTTAACACTTATGAAAAATGTTTATCTAGAGAAAATTAGAAATTAATTAAAAATTAGAAATAATAATGAGAAAATTATTATTATATATTGAGAGGATATTCAAGAGGATGTTCAATCTTCTCCAGTTTATTTTGGATTTATTTTTCACCTGTGTATCTCAGGAATGAATAATTCCCCTATTTAATTGCAATATACTGAATTATCAGTTATTTTTTATTCAAATATTTTTTTCCTTTTGTCTTTTTTATGGCCAAAATCATCGTTGATCGAAGCTGCAGAACTGTAGCTCTCTGTTTGGGAAAATTCGGACAGATAAAGCACAGCGCTAAGTTTAGCGGTGGTGACGTCAAAGCTATAACAGATTTCAAAATCGACAACATTCAATGTTAGCATGAATTTCAACAATATATCTATGGAAGCTCTTGCAGTCATTGTCTTTGTCGGGATGATTTATTTAACGGGTACTCTCTATTACAGACCAGGGAGGATTATTAACGTCACTTCCGGAAGGGTTGGAAGAACAAGTGTTTTGAGTAATTTATATTCCCCTACATCATGTCAGAATAACATTTTGATATGATCCCTTCACAATGTAATAAGATATCACTTTATAAAAAAAAAAAATTAGTTAGTACATTATAGTTTTCCTATAATTTAAAATGTTATGAAAGTTTATACAATTTCAAACATAGGGTTTCAGCTCCTCTGATGAAAACTTGCATTGAATTAGAATTCTTTAATATGCAGTGTGTGTTAAGAACAAGAACTTTTTTTAATCTACATGTTTAGAAAAGTAAAGTCACTTTACGTTCCGTGGAAACTTCAAAACTGTCTTCCGAATTAACTCTGTAGAAGAAGTCTTCGATTTTGAGATTTTTGTTCCTATAGACTGCACGTTGTTGGGCTTTGTCCATTGTCTCTTTGAAGGCGAGTTCTAAAGCAGCATCCTCATAGCCTACAAGGGCATCTGGAAGGAATAGCATCAATAATTATCCATCTCAGTTTTCCCAAACAAACACTGCCAGGGTCATAAATCAGGCTGTAAATTACATTGATATGATCCTATATTTGAAACCCTAAATGATAATGATTTTTTAATTCAGTTTAAAGACTAGGCCTAAAGAATATCCAACCACCTTAAAAAAGGAGATTTCCTTTATTTTTGTAACAATTTAACGTTTCATTCTGCACTCCGAAAAATGAAACGGATTATTCTTTTTTAAATCTTCCACATCCTCTAATAAGACAAGGATTCTAATACAATTTTCTCTGAATTACTTATTATGTCATAGATAAGAAGAATATAAAATTTATTCTTTCAAAATATTTTTGAGTTGGATGGACCACCCCTTCCACGGAAAAATCCTGGATCCACGCATTGAGAATATGTTCAATATGTATATCCAGTCGACATGGCAACAACCAATGGTAATTTTAACATTTCAGAGGGTGTTCTGACTTTTTGTGCTTAGACTGTTAAGTAAATATAACAAAAGCACCGCTAAGCGGAACATCCCCATGCGGCAGAACTTAACCGGTAAGTGAAAGGGGGTGGCAAATTTTTCAAGTTAAATTATTTATTTTCATGTCGGTGAAGGACATATTATATGTTTCTAATAAGATCAAGGACCGATTATTTATTTTCTTCTTCAATGAAAAAAAGTCTGACAAGTCCAAAAAAAATTAAATACATATAAATAAATTCAGGAAGTACTATAATTCGTGAAGGTTTAATAGCACTAGACATGATGTCAACTGAGGACAAATTACTTATTTTCAACATTTTCGAGGACAGGTTATTTATTATTTCCAAATTCTGATACCACTCCCAAGACAATTATCATGTTTTCCTTTCTTAATCCTTGTCCCAACAAGTTAGCGTATCCGAGGTCATTTAAACAAGCGTTTTCTATCTATAAGACGATTTACTTCTCTTGAACTAAATAGCTTATTTGACTGAGAAACGTTAAGAATAAAGGCACAAACCATTTATATTTTGTAAATACATAAGATACGAAATCATTATAACAATTTTAAACGCTTGTCAAGAATAAAGGCAACTTACATATATCCACGTCAATGTTTGAATTGGATAAACAAACGTATATCATATTGATTTATTAGATCTTAGTTATAACATTTGTAAGTATGTTTTTATGACTTTAAACATTAGCTCTTTCAATAACATATTAAATCTCTGTATTCCCACGATGATAATGTCAATAAAATGTGGACGGTTCTCATGTGAGAATTCACATTTATGTGTTGAGAGAGAGAGAGAGAGAGAGAGAGAGGGGGAGGGAATATACAATTAAAACACACTTTCGTCTTTCTGCTCTCAATATCGGAAGGAAGGGGGGAAGCTCAGCATATAACCATTGCAGAATTTTTGAGACAGAAATGTCTCTTGTGTGGTCTGTAATGTCATCAACGAAATTAAAATTAGGCAAAAAATTCACTCTTTTACGGAGATTTGATAAAAAGTGGGACGTATTTCTGTTATTCTGTAATACCGTCGCCATTAAGCAGGCAGTGGTTATGTATATTTTTATTTATTCACCAATCAAGGGCCTTCTGGGGGCATATACAATTAAGAGACAAACAATATAATCATTATTATAACAATGCAAAATTGATATGATCCTCACTTGTAAAAGTTCTCAGCTGATATACAGGGTAGTTCACAATGAAATATTAGCATTACATATAATATAATAATAATAATAAAATATGAAGAAGATAATAATAAAACACAAGCCCTTTATACTGCAATGACCAGGCGGATAATACCAAACGAGTACATGTAATCAAATTATTATTAATAATAATCATATTATTACAAAAAGTGTATATATTTTGTTGGCCAACATGATTGTAGCAGTCTGGAAAAAATGCCAGGTTGCCTTCAAACTTTACATCATGGCAGTTCAGTTTCAAACCATTTTCACTTCAGTAAGACCATCATGGCAGTTCAGTTTCAACCCAATTTCACTTCAGTAAGACTTGTGTCCATGATACCCCTACAAACAAAGAAATAACTTAACCATGTTCACAAATTTTCCTGATAACAACGTAAATGAGTCTGGCAATGGATGTCTAAGAGCACCAGTGTAAGCGCGTGTGTTATTAACAGCAGATGCGCAGCCTAGGAGAGGTGTGTTAAATATAGATATAGGTATATTACAAAGATGTAGCATTCGTGGTTTTTATTTAGAGCTTGCCTTCAAAGCATTTCAGTATTTTTGCTATATTTCATTTGTTTTTCCAGGAAAGGGACGGATCCAGGATTTTCAAACGCATATGGGGTGCCGATGGGGTTTGTAGTTCAAAAAAAAAATTTAAAAAATTGTAAATTTAGAGGCTGATACACCTGAAATCCACAAGAAAACATGCATATTTCTATTCTTTAAATATAACATATATAAATATATATATATGTGACTAAATAAAAATTTTTAAAGATGATCTTATTTTTTTTCACGGATTGCTTTCGAGCCAATAAAGAAGAATTGGTGAGATGATCGATTTACAGAAAATGAAACAAAAGTTGAGACACAGACACGATTAATTTAAGTTCAATTTTCAGAAATATAAAAAGGGGGTGTTGCAAAACCTGGATATTTATATCGGCTTTTAAAATGATTAATTTAAGTTTAACTTTCAGTTCTAATGATATTAACTTTTATTTTCATACCATGTTTTGTTCATACTTTTTTATTTTGTATAAAACTGACATTCAGGTAGAATTATGACCAATATTTTGACAGCTAATATGACGCGAACACGGTAGTAATTTTTTCGTATAAGCTCTCACGTCAATTCTTACTGGCTATCATGTATACATTGGAAAGGGGACCAGGATTTACAGTAGAGACGTTCATTGTATTTTAGGTAATCCGTTCTTAATCCCTTCCTTGCAGTTTTAAATATAGCGTCGTGTTTTAGAAATTCTTGATAAACTTTATATCACAAAAATTTCATAAGTTTTGTTGTTATATTTTTTTCCATTACACATGAATATGGTTCATTGGTCATTGCATGTACGTGCATTCATGCTTAAATGTAAAGTTAATATATAACAATCAATGATCTTACCTCCTTTTAATGTATTACTCCGTACATTCATTTCGTAACTGGCAAATCGTTTCTGGTTCGATTTTTAATTTTATAAAAATTAATTTGTACAACTGTGTTTTCGAGAAGAAGCGCATTGTCTGTACGCGTTTTCTTGTCGCCACTTCAACATCTGATTTTTTTTTATGGGACACAAGATGATTTTAATTCAGCAATAAATTGCTTTTTTATGTTATTTAGTACTGGAATTAATGTTGCATAAAAATATACTAGTACATACCCGTGTAAGCAGGATTGTAATGTCAGTCTTTTTTTTTTTCGGCCTTTAAAACAATCCAATGCAAGAAAGACATCTTTTGTATTCAATGTATAAATAATCAAATAAAGTACGATTAATATAAATGTTGATATGTTTTAGTGATGGTAATGGAAGAGCCACTAAAATCTATACAAGGTATTGATAAGCGGCGTTTACACTTTGATAAACAATCGCGGTTTTTTTAAGAAAAGAAGGAGATAATGTCCAGTGGATTTAAATATACACAATATATTGAAAATACGCTTACCTGCTTATGGGACAATCTTCACGCCTTCTCTAATTTTTTTTCTTCTAAATTTATTTATTTTTTATTTTTTTTATTTTTTTTTCTGTCGGGGTCGATATGCTGACAGCTGTTGAAACAGTACAACAGTTGTTATAGTAGAGATGTCGGAGGAACGGCAGTGTGTTTTATTAAAATCGATTATAGCGATCTTTCATTGATGTATAATTAGTTTGTATATACCTATTAACAAGAAGACCAACTAAAACAAAAGGATTTTTTAATGATACTTTATTTGAGCGTTTCATGAAACATGATATAGTGTAAGACATTCACAAACCATATTACAACAAATTAAGGGATCAACAAATGAATAATTTTTGCTACTGTTGTTAATATAATAGCTCTTCTCAGGCCTGAACCTGAATTTCAGACTAATTGCTAATGGATACTTTCACACCTTGGACAATTCGATCCATGAATTTCCAACATCTAAGTCAGATTTTCGACCAGATTTTCCCTTCTTTAACTTTGGAATTTTCATTTTGATATCCAAAAGTTTATTGTATATTTTTTTTTCACGAAAAAACACTACGTGTGGAAGTTTTTTGTGCATTTATGAACTATCATGCTAGATTTTTTTTGCATGAAATACTGTATATGCTAGTAGCTGACCACTCTTAGATTTAGTTACGTTTTTAAAGATTTAGTTACATCTTTAAAGAAGCTAAAAGCAAGCGTTCCTTGGAACACTCTAGTAATTTATGTTATACGATTTAACATAACTTGGAACAGTTTACGCTATAAACCGCGAAGCCCGTTATGCAAATTATCCCATGTTTCAAACTATCGTTGATGCCCTGGCGTACTCTTCTATGCTTTAAATGTCCCACTACATCATGAGCTATGTAGCGTTATGGTTATCGCGTTATAGTCTCAAAGATACAATATACCCCGTATTTTTATTGCTAGAGTTCGAATTCCACGAATACTATCTTAAATTTAAAAAAAAAAAAATTTTCTCTTAGAAAAGGTTTGTTGTTCATTATTTCAATAATGAGAACTTAATTTAAATACTGAATTCACACACTGAACATGATTTTTTAAAATCTGAAGCTATATTCATTCTGCGCACCTTGTTCTCCCATCTTCTTTGAACTTTCTTCTACATCATTTGCATTTTTATGAATTTAATTATGCTCTTTATTGGATAGAGGTGTGTGTGTTACAAGTCTATTCTTTTTAGGTTTAGGTTAAAAACATTGGGTCAGTAGGTAGGTGGAAAAAATTTCCTCAGAAATTTTTAACATCAGTGCTGAATTTTGAAATCTGTAAAAAATGAAGGTATTGATGCAAATGAAATAACTGTTGGCAGGATTATAAAACAGAAAAAACAAAAATAATTGTTTGTTTGGGGTTCAAAAAAAGTTCTCAGCCGGGCACTTGGAAGCTATTGGGTCGGGAAAGGCAAACACTTTTTTTAACAAACGACCTTTGACCTGTTATATCAATGGTTTTTTCCCAAAATCTTGAAACATCACAAAAATTATTAGTTCTTTAAAATATTGTAAGACAGATATGTCGAATGTTCTAATATATATTTAATTCTTGTTTATTTTGATTGGAACCGGAAGTGCTTCAGTAAGTTTTTGCTTGACTCTATACTTCCGGCTTGTAACTTTGAAAACACGATTAAACCTGTTTAAAGCTCCCAAAAACGGAAAGCGTTTTTTCTGGCATGCAAATGGTCCTTCAAAGACAACGGCAATAATATTTTCAATTTCGTTGTTAGAGAGCAGGCACCATGCATGTTTCATTCCCAAAACCACCTTATCTATGTCGTCAAAATCTTTCGGCATTGACAATATCACCAATACTGTGCGGCTTTTCTTAATATTCTCATACAGTTGCACATCCCAAGTACCGCCGACGTCTTCGTGAATTGGTGGAACAAAACACTCGTACCCATTTTGTCGAAGATGTCTAAAGATGTCAAGTGAGTACTTAATAATATCTGAATTTGTATCGTCAAAAAGAACATAAACATCATAGCAATAGTTTGTGTTCTTCTTTGTTCTAAAACGACTCTTTATTATGATGGCATCAAATCTGAAGACTCGGATCATATACATTGCCATCAAAGCTATAGCAGGAAGGAGAAAAAAAGCAAAATAATTTTCGTCGAATTCATTTTCTATACAACTGTCAAAGGCTATCTCAGCACGTAGAATACCATGTGAGTCTGTTTGACACAGTAGAGGATTTGAACTATTGACCTTTGACCCTAACCTCCATGCTTTGATCCATTTTTCCTGACAACTACACGGCACACTGTTTCGTCCAAACCAGACCTTACTAGCATCAATGTCTGCAAATCCTCGCGTGAGTTTTGGTAGACTGTGGTCCGTGAGGTATAGGCTTTCCAGACTTTCTAGCCTGGAAGGAACTGTGTCAGATATCTCCGTGACTCGGTTCCCAGATAAGTCTAAGACACTGAGGTTCTTAAGATAGTTAACTGGTATAACATCTGTAATCGCGTTGTTGCTGCAGTTGAGTTCTATGTTGTAAATAGTTTCAGGGAGATACGTTGGAAGACTTGTAAGATTTCGATTCGAACAGTCCACGATCATCCGATATCGACTAGGTTGCTCTATACACGTACAGACAGACGGACAAAAATTTTGTTTTTGACACACAAACATGTCTAACAACGCGGTATCATTAAATACATTTAAAACATTGAAATTCTTCAGATGCTCTGGAGAGGAACACGTATATGAATCGTCGTTTGGTAAATGATAAAATCTTCTAAATACCTCTATTTCTCCCGACATCAGCGCTCCTAAATTACAATCACAAGGGAGAACTAGCTTCTTAAAGGTAAACCTGCCAGTGAAATCATACTTGTATAAATTTCGGAGGGACGAAACGCTAGATCCAAATATCAACTGGATAGGATGGTGGTTTATTGTAGAGTCAGCAAGTACCACCTCCCCACCACCATACTTCACTCCTGTTTTTAACATTGTTTCTTCTTTTTTCACAAATGTTATATTACATCTAACCAGAGTAATGTTACAAAACGCTCTACGCTCAAAGTAGACATTAGACACATCAAAAGATAAGAAAGTATTGTCTGATAAATCGGGGATATAAATTTCTGTACCTGCCGGATTGAACGTGTTTGGTTCTATAGTTTTTATGTTCGTATTGGCTAGAAGAAGAACACGCAAGCTAGGCATACCAGAGAAAGTTTCATTAGATACAACCGAAATGGGATTTTCACTTACATCTAAAAAGTCCAGAAAATTCAAACAGTTAATTCCTTCAATACTTTGTATTCTGTTTCCTCTTAGGTTCAGAGTGACCAGTGTGTTGTTAAATTCACACAAATTGTCTGGTAGCCTGCTCATTCTCTCATTTTCATGGACCAGCCAATAAAATGAAGAAGAGTCATTTCCAACAATGATCGATCTTCCAAACGTATTTACGTACTCTACAAACAAGGGGAGATAACTTATATTTGGATCCAGCTGCCAGATAGGTTTTCCTTCACAAGCGCAGCATCGGTCGTAAAAGGTATCTCGAATAAAACAAAAATCCGGACAGAGGACGTTCGGCTTTTCCGGTCCAGTTTCCGATTTCCAATTATGGAAACCTGTAATGTTTGCTCCAGAAACAAATGAAAGCTGAAGAATGAGAGTTAATTTTAAAATATCCATTGTATAAAAACGTTCTAACACAAATTTATACCCATCTCTGTACACTTCACCTCTTCTCAAGGAAATTTAAAGCATTAAGCTCTATCAGAAGATTTTAAGAGTGAAAAGCTTCCCTCTACTTCCTCTGATACGCATTTAATTTAAACTCCCGATATTTTTTAAATGTTTACTTTAGAATACACTGTTCTATTAACCCGATCATGCCCCCGTGGATTTGGTAAATATCGCGTTAGCCACTTATCAATTGCTTTGTAATTATATTTGCTCCTTCGAAATTACGTATCAGACATTGAGTAAGACTAGTTTGACAAACTAATTAAAGTACTTTTAACAAAATAAATTATCGTTATTTTCATTATCAAACAAAATACATTTTTAATGAATATTAATGAATTGATTAAAAATAATAATGATGAAAAACAAAACAGAATCAAACTAGAGCAAAGCTTGTTTCAAAGCAACGAATAGGTCTTCCGACAGATGGAGGACCTTTTTTCCCATTTCATGTCATTTTCAGTAAAAATATCATATAATGTCATGATAACACTTATTTAAAAAAAAAACAACTACAGATTAGCCTACTAATACGCCCAGCACTGTTCTTCTTAATAAAGATCTATTAAAGCATATAAATTTTTTATTATACAAGTTACATGACATACAGATGAAAGATAATACCTAAGGATGGCCCATAAAAGCTTTTTTAAAGATTAGCCTATTTCTAATGGAGTCCTTAAATTACAAATATCTCAGAAACAAAAAAAAAAACAAAACAAAAAAACATTTATAATGGAATTTAGGCAGAGTACATTGATGAGTATTATGGCATAAAACTTTGAAAAATCACATGTTTCTAATCACACATTTTTACCTTAAAAAATATCACAATTATTATAAAATAAAATAAAATGGAAATAAAATTAGACAAGCCTTCACGTAGTGTCACTAGCTATTGTAGATAAAGAGATCTTAAAGCTTTCCTAAATTTTTGTGTTGTATTCATCTCCTTGATCTCAAGTTAGTGGCAGTCTTTAATAGCATTATAGAAAATCATGAAGACTCTTTCCCTATTATCTTAGGTTTATGAAAATTCTTTTTAGTTAAATCACATTATGTTTCATTACACTTCTTGTAGTACTATTATTCAGTAAAAAATGAATATGCAGATAATCTGGTGCATTTCAATTATATATATTTAAAAAATGGTTTAATCTTAATTGATTAAATCTATCATCCACTCAGAACATATTCAGAGTTAAAATATTACCAGAAATACTCTCTCTTACAAAAAAGGCTCGGATGATTTGTCCAAAATGTAGAAACACATAGTACTTAAGTCATACATGAAATATACAAAATTAAAGAAAATTAAACAGCTGGGAATTTTATTGGTCTTGGTGTGTTTGCACTTCCTTTAAATTCAATTAAAAATCATTTTATACTACAGTGTATTTCTTATTACTTCAGGGAAAAAGCTTCATTTTCCGACTAATTCCGGTTTATACAGGAAGTTTTTCCGATGATTGTTTTGGTTGATTATCCACGTAAATAAGTACTAAACTTTTTTACGAAACTTAAATTTTTCATCGTTGTAGACCGGAAGAAATAGATGCAAAATTAAAACAAAATTATCGATAATACGAAGAAATTTTTTTTTTTCATCCCTGACTATATCACTGGTCACGTGATCGGGAGGCCCGGATTCGATTCTCGTTCGCAGCGCCGCGTCAAACATAAGACTTAAACATAGGTAGTGACTATTCCTTCGTCAATCACTCGGCACTATAAATGAAAGTCACGGGTCTTTCGGATATGACCTTAAAAACGTAGGTCCCGTGTCACGGTAGGCGTTGGCACGATAAAGAACCCCCACTGATCAATGGCCCTGGGTGCCGAGTATAGGTCTAAATTTGAAGCCCTTCACCGGCAAACGGTTACGTCTCCATATGAGTGAAAAATTCTCGAGTGCAACGTTAAACAATCAATCCCTGGATATATCATGATTCCATCTTGAGTTGTTTATAAGAAAATGTCAATTGGAAAAATGAAAAGTGGACAAAAATGCGACCGGAAGTGATTTTAAAAAAATGAAAAACAAAGATCTGGAGATATTAACAGAATGCATCATCCTGGCAAAACATCTGGAAATCTGTCGAATGGTTTCCGAGAAAAATCAGTTTTACAATGAAAAGGAAATAATAAATAATAGGAATCTGGACAAAAACGAACATACATGTCCAAGAACGAATTGGATGTCTATATCGACGATATCGACAATATTATGTCGATATCGTATCGATATCGATCATGATGAGCACTATTAATTTGAAATACTTGGTACCATATATGAGACTTTGTGCTACGTCGATGTCGTCGACAATACCATGACGATATCGTATCGATATCGATCCTTTTTGTTGAATTTATTTTCACAATGAGGTATAACATAATTTTACAAGGTCACAAGTGATGTCAAATTCATTCATTATTAGCATGAATATGAAATTAAATTATGATAAGGAAAGGGTAAGCGGTTGTTATTGTTTTGGATTAGGTTAAAAGTAAGATGTTGGGTGATGGTGAAAGTTGGTAATATGTTTTAACAATCATAATTCGATATTGATACGATATCGTCGATATCGACGATATGGACAGTAGGGTAAACTAATTAATCAGAAAGTAAATATGCACAACCGTTGCATGAAGAAACAGAACTTATTGTCATGGGATATGTTAAAAATAAAGATTTTGTATTGGGGTGAAGGTTGGTGAAGTAATATATTTTAACAATCATACGATATCGACGATATTGATGGCAGGTACAATCTTCGTAAAAGTAAAGTAATTAAACATGATAAATAAACATACAAAGTAACAGGGACGGTATTTATAAAGAGCTGAGCAAACATGATTCGATATCGAAGCGACATCGTCGATATCGACGATATCAACACTACAGGGAAAGTTTTAAAAAAAAAGATAGTTTTCAAGTAACACATGTTAATGCAATACAAGTATTATAGATGGAAACCATAATTCTTTGAACAATCATCATTCGATATCGACACGATATCGTAGACATTGACAGTAAGTAAGACTTCTTAAAACAGAAAGTATTGTAATAAACACACAAGGATAGAGAAATGTTATAGTAAACTATAAAAAAATAATGTGTCGATATCGTAACTACATCGTGTCTTGGACATAACTCAAAACGAAAAGGTCTTCCGAAGAAGGAAGACCTTTTAAAAGAAGTATGCAATCCTCTTCTTGTTGCTCGCGTGACACAGTGGCTAATGCGGCTGCTCTAGAGTTGCGGAGTAAGGAGTTAATCCTTACTTCGTGAGTGCAAATCCCAATGCGATCTTAAGGTCCTTTGGATGAGACAATATAAAACGCAAATCCATGGAAAACAATGGATGCTGGCACGAAAAAGAACACTCGATGCACAATGGCCCTAAAACCGTGTATTGTTTAATATTTGCAGCTCTCCACCAGCAAGTGGTTTGTCTTCTTACGAGTGGAACATTTTCAAGAGGGAAGGTAATTTAAGCAACAAATAAACTAACAAACGACCCTCTTCTTTTCATCTAGCTCTACACAAAATAAATACGCGATACAACTCGTTAGAGAAATCATATAGTAAATTTGAGTTGAAAATGGAACTCTTCTTTATGATTTTGATATACATCCATAGTGATATATATATATATACAAAAAATAATTAAAGCGTGAAAGAAAAAAAACCTTAGTACAATAATATTGGTAAATGCCAATTAGCTTTTTTCTTCTGCATGATTTAATTGGTAACACTTGAAGTTAAAACATTATTTTGTTTTGACCAAGGTTGTGCATACATTGTAGCAGCCGCTTATGCTAAAATTCTGCTTAATGATAGAATATCATTGAGGGTTACAACTTAATGCCAATTGTCATAAATTACTGCATTACTAGTGACATTCTTAACCTCTAATGCTAAATCTGTGCTTAATGAAAGAAATATTATATAATTTTGCAATCTTAATAATAAATTGTTCAGCTGTTTTATCATAAGCGGTTCTACTGTGCATCGTAGAATTCTTGATTGGATTGTGGAGTGATATAAGTCTGATTTCTTTATCTATTCATGGTTGGGTACTGGCTACTGAAAAAATATGCATTCGTTTGGTCATCTTTAAAACTATATTTGTTTCCCTCTTCTGTCAAAGCGTTTAAAAAATTGGGTAGGTCGGTTTTCTTTAAATTTTAAACATCAATGATGAATTTTGAACTCTATATAAGTGAAAGGTATAATTGCAACTGAAACAGTTGTTGACAGGATTAGAAAGCCCAGACATAAACAAATCATTTTTGGGGGTTTTATACAAGGTTCGTAGCTGTGAAATTATGAGCCATTTTTTTTTAATAGGGCAAACAGACATTATTTTTAGACGGCCTTTACATAATTGGCTCTTCCAAAACTTGAAGCATCAGACAAATAATTGATTCTTTGAAAAAAAAATATTGTGAGAAAGATGCCCAATGTGTAATTAATTCTTGGTTGTTTTGCTTTGAACCGGTAGGGCCTCGGTAAGTTTTTGTTTGATTCTGTACTTCCGGCTGGTAACTTTAAAAACACGATTAAACCGGTTTAAAGCTCCCAAAAACGGAAAGCATTTTTTCTGGCATGCAAGTGTTCCTTCGAAGACAACGGCAATAATATTTTAAATTTCATTGTTAGAAAACAGACTCCATGCATGTTTCATGCCCAAAATAACTTCATATATGTCGTCACCATCTTTTGGCTTTGACAAGATCACCAGTATTGAACGGCTTTTCCTTATATTCTCATACAGTTGTACTTCTCAAACATCGCCGACGTCTTCATGAATTGGTGGAACAAAACACTCGTACCCATTCTGTTAAAGATGTCCATAGATGTCAAGAACGTACTTAGTAATATCTGAATTTGTATCGTCAAAAAGGACATAAACATCATAGCAATAGTTTGTGTTCTTCTTTTTCCTAAAGCGATTCTTTATTATGTTAGCATCAAATCTGAAGACTCGGGCCATAAAAATGGATATCAAAGCTATAGCAGGAAGAAGAAAAAAAGCAAAATAATTTTCGTCGAATTCATTTTGTATGCAATTGTCAAAGGCTAGCTCAGTACGAAGAATACCATGTGAATCTGTTCTACAGAGTAGATGATTTGAACTATTGACCTTTGACCCTAATCTCCATGCTTTGATCCATTTTTCCTGACAACTACATGACACACTTTTTCGTCCAAACCAGACCTTACTAGCATCAATGTCTACAAATCCTTGCATTAGCTTTTGTAGACTGTGGTCCGTGAGGTATAGATTTTCCAGACTTTCAAGCCTGGAAGGAACTGTGTCAGATATCTCCGTGACTTGGTTCCCAGATAAGTCTAAGACACTGAGGTTCTTGAGGTAGTTCACTGGCATTACTTCTGTAATCGTTGGTGCAGTTTAGTTCTATGTTGTAAATAGTTTCAGGAAGATATGTTGGAAGACTTGTAAGATTTTGATTTGAACAGTCCACGATACATTTAAAACATTGAAATTTTTCAGATGCTCAGGAGAAGAACACATATACCAGTCGTCATTTGGTAAGTGATAAAATCTTTTAAACATTGCAATATCTCCAGTCATCAGCGCTGCTACATTACAATCACAGGGGAGAACTAGCTTCTGATAGGTAAACCTGCCGATGAAGTTGTACTCCTTTGTATTTCGAATCGAAGAAATGTTAGATTCAAATATTAACTCAACAGGGTGACGGTTAATTGTGGAGTTAGCAAGTATCACCTCCCCACCGCCATACTGCACATTTGTATGTAAAGTTGTTTCTTCTTTTTTCACAAATGTTATATTACATCTCACCAAAGTAACATTACAAAACGCCCTTCGCTCAAAGTAGACATTAGACACCTCAAATGATAACAAAGTACTGTCTGATAAATCGGTGACGAAGACCTCTGTACCTGCCGGATTGAAAGTGTTCGGTCCTACAGTCTTTATGTTCGTATTAGCAAGAAGAAGAAGACGCAAGTTAGGCATACCAGAGAAAGTTTCATTAGATACTGCTGAAATTGGATTTCCACTTACATCTAAAGTGTCCAGAAAGTTTAAACAATTAATTCCTTCAATACTTTGAATTCTATTTCCATGGAGAATCAGAGTGACCAGTGTATTGTTAAATTCACACAAGTTGTCTGGTAGCCTGCCCATTCTTTCATATCCATGGACCAGCCAATAAAATGAAGAAGAGTCATTTCCAATAATATTCGATCTTCCAAACGAATTCACATACTCCACAAACAAGGGGAGATAACTTATATTTGGATCGAGCTGCCATATGGGCTTTCCTTCACAAGCGCAGCATCGGTCGTACAAAGTATCTCGAATGAAACAGTAATCTGGACAGAGGACGTTCGGCTTTTCCGGTCCAGTTTCCGATTTCCAGTTACTGAAACCAGTAATGTTTGCTCCAGAAACTAATGAAATAATCTTTATAACGAGAATAAGATTTGAATTATACATTATTTAAAATGTTTCTAAATGGTACTCGTTTCTACGCTTCCCCTTTTCTCAGAGAAATTTTACACATGAATTTCTACCAGAAGTTTTTATGTTTGAAATTCTTCCGGCTACCTCCTCTTTAAAGTTCATTTTTAACCCCCGCTATTTATGACATGTTTATAGGTTTACTTTGGAACACACTCTTCTATTAACTTGATTGTACCCGAGGATCACATTAATAATGCACGGACCAATCATTTACGTTTTTTTAAAGTACATTAATTTCTCAATTTTCTCAAAAGGATTGGTTAGTAAGCATTTCAATGAATTATTGTCAATGTGAAAACCTTTAGACGTGAACATTTCATACTGAATGACACGATAAATTCCTATCAATCTTTCAATTATGGCATTAAAGAGATCTTTTATTAATTTTCCTTTGGAGAGCCATTGAACTAATGAAAAGCAAAATTTAAACTTTGCAAAAAAAAAAAAAAATAATAGTAATAATAATGATGGAACTTATTACAAATTCTTTTGATAGAGATACCACTCCAAATAGTTCACACTGTATTCAATTCAGCTTAAAAAGGACTCTTTTTAAAAATAAATCTTTAATACTCATGCAAGTAAAGAGCATATGTAAACCTCATCCTAAAGCGTGTATATCAAAATTATTCCCTATATATATAATATAATTAAAAGTATTTTTTTTAATAATGAAATGCATGTATACAGGAAATGCAAATAATTATTCTTGATATCAAGTTTCGTGTTTACGAAAGGATAAATTACTATTACTATTAAGTATTTATGTGTATCAATATTAAGTATTTATATATTATACTTTCTCAGATTCCATTAAACATTACAAGATAGGAGCAGAGCAAACAAGGACTTTTAAAATAACAGAGGTGGAATCAGGCGCCATGGAAGAGTGAACATCCCCTGCCAACTGGTCACACCCGCCATGTGCTCCTTGTCATTTTGGGGGAAAACCCGGACAAAGCCATAGACAATTAAGTGTGTAAATAATGGCCTTTTAATCAGTAAAAAAAAAGTTAGTGAAAATTTGACTTTATGAAAGACGCTCTCAAGATCATTGTATCGACCATAAAACTTACGATATGATGAGTATAAGCGAGACTGCTGATATTCTTGCTACATCTATTGTTTTTCAATATTTTTCACGTTTTAGAAATTGTTCTTATGTAGAGCATGACCTTTTGAATCAATTGTGAGATATAAACAACATATGCAGGTGACATGGGCATATTGCTGCATAAGTAAGGGAATTCAAATGCAAAAAGTTGAAGTCATCATGTCTTTCATGACGTCACGTTTTATTGACACCCGGCTCAAGTCGGCTGCACGGATATTTGCACCCAACTTTGTAACCGATCAAAACTTAATTTCATAATTTCAATTCTTTCCTAAAACCACTGATTAAAAGAGCAAAGTAGATATAAATTCCTGTTAAGAAATTGAAGTTTGAGCATCGATGGTTTTATATATCTCATTAAATTTGATCTGAAGATTAAGAGTGTTCTCTACGTACAAACAATGCAACAGAAGCAAGCTATCGGTAAACAAATTGATACTAAAAAGGATAATAACAGTCTCGTTCAAATTAAACATTTTGCAACTAAATAGAAATAAAGAACAGAACATTTTATTTCTATTGAAAAAAATACAAGTAATAAAAAAGCAAAACAATTTATGCACATGTGTTTCGTCAAACAACAACTAAAATGTGCAGTACGTAGGGGGAACGTGTACAATATTAAATCTTATAATATAGCTAATAAATCGACCGTGTAACACTTAACAATTCATATTTTTGAAATGATTTAGAGTTTTAGAATATTAATATATAAGTTCAACTTTTTAAATTTTTAAAAATCAAACTGATTTGTGTATATTGAAATTTAACATCTTTGTTAGAAATTTAAATTTTCAAATTTCAAAAACAGGTTTTTGAATTTTAATTTTTAGATTTTTACCTTAAACATTTAAAATTAAAATTTCCACGAACAAATTTTGTATTTTAAACTTTTAAGTTTTTAATTTACCGTTTGTTTAGAAAGTTTACGCTTGACAATCTGAAGTTCAATACAGGATTTCAAAACGTTTTAGATTTTTTGAAAGTTAGAAGTTTGATTGAACATTTTAATTTCAAACAACCAAAACACTTGGAGGTTTTAGATATTTACTTCACATATCCAAAATAAAAAATTTCCAAATCTGGCTTGAATTTTGAAACTATTTCAAAACCTCATTCGGTTAAGCAAAAGAGCTTTTAGATAGTTAGAATATTGAACTGATATTCAAAATTCAAATCGGGTTCAGAAATTTGATATTTGGATATTTGAAGTAAAATTCTAAAGTGTTTTAGCTACTATAGTATTTGAAATTAGAACATTTGAATCAAAATTTCAAATTTCTAAAAATCTAAAAGGTTTCAAAGTTTAGATTTAGAAGGTTCGAAGTAAATTTTAAATAATCAAAAGACAAAATATATTATCTGAATCTTGGATTGTTAAGAGTAAATTTTCTAAACAAACGGTAGATTAAAATTCAAAAGATCAAAATATTCAAAATTTGTTTGAAGAAATTTGAATTTTGAAAATTTAAGGTAAAAATCTAAAATATCAAAATGTTAAAACCTGATAAGAAATTTGGAAATTTAGATTTTTTAAATAAAATATTAAATTTCACTATACTAAATCAGTATGAATTTTTGAAATTTAGACATTTGAACCAATATATTAACATTCTTAAACTCAAAAACTATTTTAGCGATTTGAATTGTTAAGTGTAACACGGATCATAATAATCTAAATTAAAACACTTCTTTAAATCTAGAGAATTTTAGCGTTCAATTATTGAACGCCGAGTGTTCGAGTATATGTGTCCAAAGCATTCCGAATATGAGCGTTCAATATCTAATGCCTGTTGTAAACACGTGTCTCCTGATCAACACCTCAAGATAATAGATAGTGGTAGCTAGCTAGGATGTGTTAACTTTCACAAAAAACTGAAATCATTTTATAATTAAATACATATTAGTCTCCATAAAACTTCTTTAAGAAAACCATAACTCTCTGTAGGATTGTTAGAATTGGTATTGAACGCTTACAGGACAAACGTTAATTAAGATATTATTAATAAAAAAGTTCTCATAAATTAGATTCGTGTGTGACCGATCGGCAGGGATGCTCACTCCTCCATGGCACCTGATCCCACCTCTAATGTATTGGAGGTTCGTGTTTGCTCTACTTCTGTTGATCTTGAATACTGTTCATTATCTCTATATGTTTCATTTCTTGTTGGATTGAAATCTTTAATATAAATCAATGTGAGATGTTTAACTATATAATAAAAGAATTATTGAACTTATATTGGTGACAAATGGCACTAGTTGGCTGTACAAATGCACTTGCATTCTCGTGCATTTGAACAGTCACCTCGTGCCAATAGTCATCCATATAAGTTCAATAACCCTACATTATGTGAACATGTACAATAATGCATCTTATGTGAATGGGAAAAATATTTGAAAAAAAACCTGTTTCCTTTGTATTGTATTCTATTGTACTGTTGTGTTACGTGTTATTTTTATCAATCTTATACTTATAGGATCTCGACTTTAATTTCTTCGACGGCTTTTCTTTTAAAAAAGAAAATAGTTCAGAAGCATGCAGAAGTTTTAAAGCGCAGACTGTTTATTGGAGTTGAACTGTTTTGTTAAGCTCATTAGGGATTACATACGGTAGTTTTTGTTTAACTCGTTCTGTACTTCCGGCTTGTAAGTTTAAAAACACAATTAAACCGGTTTACAGCTCAAAAAAAAAAGGAAAGCGTTTCTTGTGGAATACAAGTTTACATTTAAAGATGACTGCAATATTTTTTCAATTTTATAT